CTCCCAGGGAGTTGGCGGCAGTTGGGTGTCAGTTACCCGAGATCCGATCACTGTTACCAGTAGGGGGTTGGTGTGTTTCCGATGGGTGTGGTGGTGTTACCAGTCGAATATGACTAGCTAGTTTTTGGCTGGGAACCGCAGAGGCCACCAAGGCACTCAAACGTCTCTGTCTACTAGTACCATCTGATTGGGAGAGGTCGCGAAGTGGCTACATTGAAACCAGAAGACCTCAGTGTTGTGAATGCCAATGACGACCTCAACAATCACCATTTGATCTCCGTCTCCCTTCAGCGTGACAAAGATGGCCCCTTACAGGAGCTGAGTCTTTACCCACTCAGACAGTCCCTTAAGATGATCCCTATTTCGGTTTAATATACTCCCTGTTAGTTGGTGGTTGTGGCAAACCCGACCTCTAACGATCCATTGGAGTTACATTTTTGGTTGGTACTTGTAGGAAAAACCGCAGGAATTTAAATTCCGGAGCGGCAATTCGTCGGTTCTCTTCATCTTGTCGCTTTTGTTGGCGGTCCCGACGGCGACGCCTTCTCCTGAGGCGCTTTGCTTGAGGGGAATTCTGCTCGTCCGAATCTTCAGAGGTCAGAACAGCAGATGGGAGATAAGCAGAAAATGTCGAGGAGAAAGAAGGCTCCCCTTGCAACGCAATGAGAGAATTTTCCATCTGTCTCGTAAGGCTTGTAGACCGGTTCTCTGGTAAGGCGCGAAAGGCAGCCAACCGTGGTCTCATATCCCGGTTGTCCTGCCCCAAAAACTCATCGAGAAACAAATTGAGTTGAACTCCAACGCGGCGTTCTGCACGGCACAGCCTCAGAAGATTTGCTGAACGAGCGCCGCTTCGAATAATCGACAAGGTCGTCCTGATGCGGCCCTCGCGATTCTGTTCAGCCATCTTCTTGTTCTCTTTCCTTTCCCGCCGAGCTTCGATTCCACGTTCAGTACGAAGGTCCTCTTCCTTTTCGTTGATGTTAAACCGAACCTGAATACTATGAGTATCGATGCCCCCTTGTTCAGAGACACCTCCACCTTTGCTATCACAGAGGCCCGGTTTCGTCATCAACGGGATAGCTGCGGTTTTGTTCTTTTGACTCGTTTTGTCTTTGTTTCGCTGTTGGGTGTGGTTGTTCTGGTGTTGCTCGCCGTGTTTGTTTGTGTGCTGCAGGACCGTCCGACGGTTTTCACTCCAGGCGAAACCTTACTCAGTACATGTTTAATGTACCTCTCCAATCACTTTCCAAGCTTCGGGCCGAATAAAGACTCCACCCTGGAGAACGACCTGTCAGGTTTTGGATGCATTAAAAAACAAATTTGGAACTGACAGCGAGCGAGAAAGCTAGCTACTAGGTTCTGTTTCTCTACGGCCTACAGTTAGTTGTCAATCTACGTCGTGAGGCTTTTCGGCTACAACACAAACTCGTGCACAAATTGCGTCCATGTCATACTCTTCCAAATGCATAAACTCGGCAGCATTTGCGTGCACCTTGTTTCGTTGGCCCGGTGAATTGGGATTCTCATCCATCACTTCCACGGGAAGTTCCATGGACATGGAGCTATCACTGTCATCCACACCCACATTTACAAACCCAATCGTTTGGCACATGGGTTCAATATCCTTCATGGGCACAAACATCTTCATACACACGGGCCACGACACGCCCGGTTCCAGTTTGCTTTCTTCTCGAGTGGTGGTGGTGCAAATGGAGATGCGTCCTCCCGGTTTGAATACACGATAGACTTCTCGGAATGCCTGTGCCTTGTTGGGTGCCAAGCAAAAGGCTCCATTGGAAATGACAACGTCAACGGATGCATCTGGTAACGGTATGGATTCCATGTCGGCCGTGACAAATCGCATGCGCTCGTGGCAGCCACGACGTTGGGCACACGCTTGGGCGTGTCGCACTTGGGTGGCGCTAATGTCCACGCCCAGGACAAATCCCGTCCGCGTAGCGGCATGCTGTGCTAGAAACGAATCGATACCCAACCCCGATCCCACATCCAACACCACGTCGCCGGGTTGAATGTTGGCATGACGATGCGGATTGCCGACTCCTTGAAAATTGTACACGTCGTTTCCGGCAATGGCAATCTGTTGGTCTGTGTAATGCATGGCCTTCATAATGGCCATGGCTTTGGCGGCATTGCCGGGAATGTGAGCTGATTCACCGACCTTGTTGTAGGCCATTCGGGTTTCTTCCTTGACGAATGATTGTTTGGTAGTTGGTGGTTGCTGCTGCTCCTCCTCGTCTTGCTCTTCTCGGTACACGTAGACATAATCCGCCAAGTTGAGCGTTCCCCGTATGCTATGATCTTTTAGAAACATGGATTCGTTGTTCTTGTCACCAATGCCGTATTCTTCTTCTTGTTCGTACCGATGACTGGCAATGACACACGTCTCCGACACCAACTCTGGATGTTGTTCCAATACCCGTTCTGGGACGCCACAATATCCCAGACAATGTCCATTTCCGAGCAGTACCAGTATTCGGTCGTCACTTTGTTTACTATTGCCCGATTCCGATTGCTGCTTTGTCAATAACAGATTATGGATCTTGTGCGCCATGGCAACGTCCTTGAGAAGTTGCGCTTGAAAAATGGGTCGAAAACGATCGTCGGGGGGTGTTATCGATGTCATTAGTTTTCGTCCCGTCAGGAGACTTTCAAAAATATTGTAGTGCTCCTCCGTTCCCGCCAGTTTTGGATGGGTAGGCAGCCAATGTGCAGCAGTTTGGAGCGCCACATCGGGTCCTTCTTTCATCAATTGCCGGGCATATGTTCGTGACAAAAATCCAGCATGCAATTGCACTCTTCTTTTTTGTTTGTTGTTATTATTGTGATGTAACCTCTTGGCATCTTCCAGCAAGTCTTGATACGGCATCAGATCGTGATGTTCCGTTCCAATTTGGTCATAGCGTTGCACCAATTCCTCAAAGGTAATCTTGTCGTTTTGATAATCCTCTAGGAGTGGTTGCATGTCAAAGGAAAAGTGTTCCATAACGACATGCAAGGTTCCTCCCTCATCATTCGTACTGTTGGTTGTGGCCATGGCATTTTGTACCATTCGTTGAAAGGCGATAATTGGCGGACGCGAATGGATCTCTCCAAAAAAGACCAATTTGGCGGATGTGGCAATTTCCTTGGCCGCCGCGGCATCATGAAATACGAGGCCCAGATTGGAGGGTTTCTTCCGCAGCCACGAGGAGGGTTGTTGTCCACTCGTACTACCGGTACTAGCCGCATCCTGTTGGTCCTTATTATGGTGGGAGGAGGGAAGGGTGGCACTGGCGGATCCTCTTGCTCCCACCAGGCGGTGAAAGAAACCACCATTCTGGAACAGAAATCGGCTGTTGCTCATGGTGAATGTGGTAACACAGATACTCAGATTAAACCTCCCCTCTGGCCGCTTTCCTTCTTGCTCTATGATACCGGTAGCGTACTAGTACCATTGCGAGCAATCTTATTTTTCTTCTTTGTCAGGCAGCGTTCTCTCGAAAGAATCTTGTGACGGAAGGTCCATTCGTGGATACACCGGACGCCCCTCCCTCAGCGTAAATAAAATCAAAATGACAAAAACTTGGTTCAACGGACATCTCTCGGTGCAAACATGTCCCGGAACACTTCCTCTTTTGTTTTCTTCCTCTGCTGTCCACGGAGTCCTCTTGTCCTTGGCCACAAAAACCAAAAGACGAAACGAAGCCCAACCAAAGTGAAGAGCACAAACACCATGCCTCCCCATCACCACGACGATGACGACGACGACAAACCCAATTCACTCTCCGCTAATGCCCGATGGCTGCGTGCCTACCTTTACCACGGCTTTCGAGATTGTTTTCGGATTCACCGCAAGGAACATACACATCTAAAACCATTTGACTATCTCGGGTATGTGCAACTCTTTCTGGCTAAATTTCTCTTGGAAGTCTGTGGCGCTGGTGGAGCCATTTGGGGATCCTCCGAGATTTTGGGATTCCACTCGGCCAGTGGTAGTTCTGCCGCCGCCAAAGAAGCGTGGCGCATTGTATCACTCATCGTCTGTGGCATATTTTTGGTGCGTTTTTGGTGGCACGCCAAACACTATTTGGAACACGATCGAGAATTTCCACCCATCAAATTCAAACATCGACGATTGCACAAGTTACCCTTTGTGCAAATCTTTTCCGCCAAGATGGTATTGGAAGTTTTGGGCGCCGCTGGAGCGATTTGGGGACCCAGCGATGCTCTCACGTTGCGGACTGCCGACAATCGACGGTTGTGGCAAGTGGCCAGTGGACTCGTCGGAATTGTCTTTTGGATGCGATGGATATGGCACATCATGGCGTATTGTCTGTGTTGTCGTACTCGTAGACGAGGAGATGTGGATGAGGATGCACATCTACATTGGTCACTTTTTTCCATTGTGGGATGGATCGTCGAAGTGGTGCTGGTGCGATTTGTCTTGGTCGTCTGTGGTGCCATTGGAGCCGTCTGGGGATTTGCGGAAATTGTCACTCTGCGAACGCCCGAAAATAGTGACCAATGGCGACCCATCTGCTGGGGTGTGGGAGTCATTTTCCTCATTCGATGGATTCTACAGACGTTTGCTTATGCCACGGGAGGGTGGGAGGAGGAAATGCCACCACCGGATGAATCTTCCAGAGATTTAAAGGCTGTGATGGATGAGGAAGACCCAGAATTGGCAGACACACCCGTGCAGACATTATCAGAGGAGGATCAAGAAAAGTAATAGACAATTGCCGGTACTTCATGACTGGCCAGTGTGTGTTTGTAGTTCTCTTCTAATAATATTATTTTGCACACTTCTGCTGTTTTGCAGTCTTGAAAGTGAAGCTACGCTTTTCCTAATGGCTAATGGGAGGGATGCATGTACTAGCTACCGGCGCCCACCGAAAGTACCATTTGCGTCATTGTCATTGTTAAATCCAAGCTATAGTGCTGATATCGCTACCTTAGTGACAGATTGTTGTTGCCATTTCCCAATACCCATGTTCTTGTTGTTGTTGTCTCACCAGGTGCGGCTTCCATGAAGATAGAAAGCATTGCCAAATGCTGGTAGCTCCAAATCTAGTCAGTGCTCATCCATATTATCACGTTCACCACCACCACCATCATCATCACCATCTTCGCTTGCATCACTATTATCGTCATCAGAATCCTCAGCACGAGTGGGGGAACCAAATCTATTCATGGCACCAGCACTGTGCTTCTTGGCAATCCGCTTGACTCCAACAAGCTCCACAGTGAGAATAAACACACTCTGGTGAACTCCCTCCATCAACTGTGTCAACTCATCATTCTCAAACTCAAAGGTTTCAAGCTTCCAACGACGGATCTGACTCTCCACTTCAAAAGGAAGTTGCACAACCTGAGCATTGTCAGCAACAATGGGATCTCCACGCTCCAACTTGTCGGTGACCTCCCCTGCAGACTTGTTGAATGCAACCATCTTGGCACTCCTATTGTTGAACTTCCTGTCACGTTGCCTGTTGGACATCTTGACACGGCCAGTTCCAACGAACAATTCTGGAATGATGGTAGACAACCGAAACTGGTTGCCACCTTCAGCAACAGATGGACGATAGAAGCTCTCCGGCAAAGCAAGAACAATAAAGTCAAGGGTGATACGATGCTCATTGCCGGCCATCCAAGTGTACATGAGCCAAGGAAACCAAATCTCCATGCTGTTGGTGGATAAATCGGTTGTCATCTTCTTGATTCCGCTTGCAATAAAGGTGGTGGTACTGTCGTCCTGGGGGTTGTCGTCCGCTGGCTCTTCCACTACAGGTGCTGGCGCTGGTTCCGATGGTTCCTCGTCCGAGTCGTCACCTGCTGACATGAGCGAGTGTGAGAGTGGTGGCAACAACAACAACAACAACAACAAACAACAACAACAATACTGACCTGTGGCAGCTGGTTTTCTCTCGTCGTCCTCTGGAGGAGGTTTTCCCTTTCGACGACCGGCTGAAAGAGTCTTGTTGAGTTGAAATGCCCTAGCTTTGCGGCGGTAAGTCTGATAGAATCCAGACTCCTTTCCGATCTTGAATGGGAAGTGCTCTCTGATGACCTGGTCAATGTAGTTGTTGGAAAGGTCTGTAGAGCAGACACCACCGTTCTTCTTTCCTCGCTTGAAGAGCTCCTCTAGCTGAGTGTCATGGAGCTTGTTCCAAGTTTTCCCTTTAGTTTTCTTTCTCTTGTCCATTGTGAGAGTTTCCTATCGATCGACTGCAAATGAGAAGAGGCACTCTTCCTTTGAAAGCTTGACTGAGGCGCCAGAGAGGAGTGGTGTATGTGTAATGTCGCTATAGAAGATCATCATGTTGGTTACAGCATAAATGGTTGGCGCCGTGAATAAAGTGATACCCATGCTTGGAACCAAAATGTGGGCTTAGACTTAAATCTAGTGCTCGCGCTGAGATAACGTACTTGAACTGAAATGACATAGTAACTATGTGATTTCAGCCGGCATCGCGTGCAAACACGTGGTGGACTATGCGATTTCAGTCGGCCGGCTGAAATCACATAGGGCGACTTAAATCGCATACCGGCGCTGAAATTTGTTGGGAACGATCCAACAGACGGGACAACCTCCGAGTTGCGCTCCTCTTATGCATGATGCACATGGGGTAACAATGGAGCCTTCAATGTGTGTTGTCAGCTGTGCCAGCTGTGCACGACCAAAGAAGTCAGAGGCAAGCTGCAGCTGCACACTTCGAACCCCATTTCTTCTTCTAGAAACTAGCTAGTGAGTCGAGTCAATGGCCAAATTCTCCACCTATTATAGCCAAATTCCTCTACCATGAGCGACGGAGACCACCGAAAGCGCTACAGAGCAGAACCGCCTGATGCTGAGTTTGCCCTCCAGAAAGCACGAGAGATTTGGAATCGTGACACCCGGAGACCAAGAGCTGTGGCTATTGAAGATGAGGATTTTCGAGGTTTCTTTGGCTGTAGTGTTCTGGTCTTCCTTTCTCTTTGGACTCTACTTGAACGTTTTGATCAGATCCCACCCGGTGGAGAAGCCTGTCACCTCATGTGGACTCTCATGTTTCTCAAAATCTATGCCCGAAATACTGTCTTGTCTTCTTTGGCTGGTGGTGTTGACCCAGATACATACATGAAGTGGGTGTGGCTCTTCCTCGATGGCATCGTTTATCTGGAGTGCCATGTGGTAAGTCTCCTAGCTATTCCGATCACTATCAACCTGTCGACTAACTCTGTTATCTCTGTTATCTCTAGATTATTTGGGAGAATCGACTCAAGCTTGACAGAGGCAATGATTGTCTCACTAGCGTGGACTGCACTGATTGTCGGATTCCCAACCATGGACCAGATTTTGCTTCCCACAAATTCAACAAAAAGAGTGGTTTGCGATATGAGATCGCTCTTTGCATTTTGACCGGTGATGTTGTTTGGATGAATGGTCCTTTCGAGTGTGGAAAATGGCCCGACATTAGCATCTTTCAATCTGCTCTTTTGGGTATGCTGGCTGACAATGAACGTGTGGAGGCAGACGATGGCTATGTCGGTGATCACCCAATGTACATCAAGTGCCCAGCTGGATTCGCCAACCCAGAGGAAACTCTCTTCATGCAGCAGAGAGTTCGCAACAGGCAGGAAACAATCAACGAGCGAGTGAAGAATTGGAAGGCCTTGGATGGCATGTGGAGGCATGAGATCACCCGCCATGGGGATGCCTTCCGTGCCATTATCATTGTCAGCCAGCTAGCAATCAACAGTGGGGAGCGGTTGTTTCCATGCGGCTACCGAGATCCACCCTACCATGGTCCTGGAGGCGAAATGGACCTTGGGAGTGATGACGATGGCCTCTGATGGCCGAGCAGTAGCCAACACGAACATTGTTACTCACGTGTTGTTGCTTCTTGCTTGCTTTGCTCCAACCCTTCACTAGATACTAGGATAAAACTGGCTAGTAGTGGCACTTTTTTGGCAGCACATGGTCTTAGCTAGCTAGAATGAATGGCAACAATCAACCTATCATAATATCTGAAATCCTGTATTGCAGTGCAGATTCCAGCAAGCTAGATGACCCAAATGGTTGTTTCGGTGGGCGCCACCGTAGTATATCGCCGTCCCGAGAACCAGCTACATGTAGCTAGCTGAAATCATTAGCCAAAGCATGGACAACAACAACTGCACTGTTGCTACAAATAGGTATTAATAGAATCTTAAATATAAGGCCTCTTGGATGTATGTAACTCGTCCAACTCTCCTCCTATTTTTAAGATATTATGTCTTCTCATCCGTGTCCTTTCAAAGATCTTGCACGTCATTGAAGGTGTCAACTACTGTAAAGATCCCAAGTCGTTGCTAGCTAGCTAGTAGCCAAGAGTCCTGAAAGACAACAACCATCGGCTGATTGAATCGAATCGAATCATCTGGACTGCTAATATATTGCAGTAAAAGTTACGCTGGGCATCACCAAAGTACTTATTGTTGACCATGACATCTCTAGTAGCAGTAGTAGGAAGCAGAAGCGCGCCTTTACTGGCAATCTGTTTGCTGTTTGCGTGCCTCGCACAAACCAACCTGGCTCTTTCGCCCACACAACAAACCACTCGACGCGTTGCCCTCGCACAGACTGCTATTCCCTTGATAGGAGTATTACCAACGTTCGCGGCTACCGCAGCAGCAGAAGAAGAGTATCAAGATGGTCCCGAAGGACTCAAATATGTCGTCACCAAGACGGGCACGGGACCCAAACCACAACGGGCACAAAAGATTCAGACCAGCTACACACTCTGGATCAATGGATTTCCAGACGACCCAAACAATCCAATCAAGAGCAAACAAATCGACAGCAGCACCAAACCCATTCTCGGCGATCAACCCTTCAAAGTCCGGGCTGGAGTCAGTCAAGTCATTCGAGGATGGGATTTGACACTGTTGGATATGCAACAAGGAGAAGCCAGACGATTGATTGTCCCGCCAGAATTGGGATACGGGAGCAAGGGAGTTGGACCCATTCCGGGAGGCGCCACGTTGTATTTTGAAATGCAACTCACCAAAGTGGAACCCCTGGAAGAATTGACGGACGATGCCAAAAAATGGTTGGCGGAACATCCATTGTAGCTACAGTAGTATTACAGTAGCTGGAATAATAGCTGGAATATACGGCAGGATAGTAGCATGTAGGCATCACAATCCCTTTGTACGAATCAAACGCAAGGGTCTCTTCGAAGCCTATTTTATCGGAGAGCATTACTACGACTCGACTCGACTCGACGCGTAGTAGTCTACAATGTCATGTACTCTAAACCCCCCCCTATCTAGAGTAGTTCTCTGAGCAAGATGAGGTTTTGCGGTGTGCCCGAGGTTATGTAGTAGAATCGAATTTGTTTGGGGGCTGTCAGATGCCTCAAGGGCTACGCCCCATGTCAACAAAAGACACCATGTTATCGACCCAGATGGCCATGACGAATCATGGGTGTTCACAAAGTGGCACCGTCATGATTAAAATAATGCGCGTCAGAATCTTTGCCCGAGGTTATGCAGTAGAATGATTCAATCTCATTAGCCAACCTAACTCACAATTCAAATCTAAGCAAAGTTGTAAACAAAACTACTTTCTACTATATACAGACATGAAGTACTATCATGAATAACAAACATTGAGTCAGTCATGCAGTTCAGGGTCCAGTTTGGTTCCCATCAGTTTGGTTTGCCTCACTCAGTAGCTGACCATCTTCATTGGTAGTCTCTCCCTCCAGGATCGGTGATGTTTCAATGTCAGAACAGTTACAGCTGTCACATCCGCAGAGCTGGCTGCTGCAGTCAAAAGTAAGGTTGTAGGCAGAACACAAGCTTTCAGGGATAATTCCAGAAAGATCATTTCCATGCAACAAGACTTCACCCCAAGGTGCAGGGAAGGGAACATTGCCAAGCTCCAAGGGCACTGTTCCAGTCAAGTCATTGTCAAACAGCCACAACTGATAAAACACATGGGTAAGCTGTCCAAGCTCTGTAGGAATGGTTCCTGAAAGGTTATTTCGATTCAAGGTCAATGTTTCCACTCGCTCGTACATTCCAATTTCACTTGGTATTGTGCCCAACAAAGAGTTCGCGTCAAGCCATAATGCCCACAACCTTGTCAGCAGGCCAAGTTCTGTTGGGATCTATTTATAAAGGTGGGGAAATGGACTCTTTGATGTTAGAAGAAGACCTAACTTGACAGGGCTGGCACAAAACGACTTACAGTCCCAGAAAAGGAGTTCTCCGCCAGTAACAGTGTGTCCATGGATGTCATGTTGCCAAGCCACCTGGGGATTGTCCCACTAAGACCCGAGTTATCCAGTTGCAGAACTAACATGTCTGTGAGAACTGCAAGTTCGGCTGGGATCTAAAAGAATCGTGGAGTGCATTGAGCACAGCTGGGTACATGCAAATAAACAAGCACCCCACCCCCCAAATGTCACCGCCAAAACTTACAGTGCCACTCAACATCATCGCGCGAAGATCTAAAATTTGTAAGAGAGCTGGTTGCGCAAGCTCCGTGGGAATCGTCCCGGTGAAGAAGTTTCCATCGAACCAGATCACCTGCAAATCAGTCAGCAAACCCAGTTCTGTTGGTAACTGCAAAATGAGGTAGTTAGAATACCAAAACTACATTCGCAAAATGCAACAATCGTATTATACATACTGGGCCTGTCAGCAGATTTTCTGTTAGAGAAATGCCTCTCATGGAGTTTTTAACGGTAAACAGGGATGATGGAATCTGGGAACCATAGTCAAAATGATAATTTGGCAAAATGAGATATTGCAGCACAATCTTGTCAGGCACAGTTTGTTGTGGGTTACCACTCACAGTTCCCGTCAAAGAGTTGAAGCCAAAGTACATGCTTCCAAATTTTGACAATCGTCCTATTGCCTCCGGAATGGAGCCAAACAGCCCACACCCCAACATTGAAACATACTCCAAATTGGGAAGGCCAAAGAGGTCTTCTGGGATGGTGCTGGTAAGGTTCAACTCATCCAACGCCAAGCTCTTGAGGTCTGTGAGCAAGTAGAGCTCCGGTGGAATACCTGATCCTGTCAGGCCATTATAGGGCAGCCAAAAGTGCTTCAGGATTCCATCTCCCTGGTAGAGTACACCATCCTCTAGATATCCAGTTGGATCTTGCTCACAGGGACTGATATGACCCAGTGGGTAATATATGTTGGCCTCAGAGACGACGTAATAATCCCTCAAACCTGAATACCAAAGGCACTCATGAACACTATGGTTTAGCCAATTGTCGCTAAAGGACCATGGTTCGTTGCTGTTGGCAAAATAGAATGTTGCAAGTGCGAAACGCTGCATGACTCTCTGTTCTGTAAGCTTGTGTAGAATGTCAATCTCTTCCATGAGCCATACAAATGCCCTTGACTGAGGTGATTCTGAGTCCTCCAGATTTGTAGAGACTGTTGATTCAGGGAAAAGTGACAGCCAATATTCTGCATAGGAGGATGGTCCCTGAGATGGGTTGCTGCTGGGCAACTCACTAGGTGCGGTTGTTGGGGAAAGATCTGCATTATCCCCTTGACTTTGAGGAATCAGGATGGCTACCAAAATGATAATGATAGCCAACAAGAAAATGACTCCCAAGAGGATCTTGGTTTTGAATTGATTCATCCTTTCTTCTCTGTTGTTGTTGATGTTGTCCGGACTGTAATCTTGAGCATGGGGCAGATCCTGAGGGGTTGTTTCATCTTGAACCAAGTTTGCCACAGCCAAACCACTATTGTCATTTTCCGGTTCGATCGTAGGCGGTCCAGTAGTGGCTGGCTCAATGCATGTCTCTGTTGTTTCCAGATATTCCTCTGTTCCTTGAAGATTTCCTCCACCTGGGTAGGCTCCTGGTTGTACTTGGGCCCTTCTGTTAGCAGTAGTCCGTTCCAATCGAGGCAAAGGCATAATTCCGAAATTGTGATCATTTTGTAGCGTATCCTCGGGAGCTACACTGGTGTCAACGAGTGCAATTCGGTTGTCGTCCTGTTCTGGGGTGGTAGTAGTTTCTTGGAACGGAGCCTCCACTTGTTTGCCCAGATCGAGAGGGGATACATTTTCTTCCTCGTATCCCTGTTTTCCTGTCATGGCTGAAGGAGCCTGTGGGACTGTCGTTTTTTGATGAAGATTTATTGTGTGCACTTGTTCTGTCAAACTGGCATCCGAATCTCTTGGGCTTAGGCCGGCTTCCACAAGTTTAACTAGGTCCAGATGATCCGATCCTGCTTCCATATTTAAGGGGAATGTCTCACTAGATTTTTCTTTGGATGCTCTCGCTTCTTGTTCAAACTCTTGTAGCTTTTGACGTTCAGCCTCACCGGCTTCACAAGCGCCACCAGAAGCACTTATCCTGGTGGCTTTTTCGATAATGTCCAATTCGATCGTTGACTGCGATTGGTTCGACTCGTCGAGATCCTGCGGTGTGCTGGTGGACGCTTCTGTCTGACTTGTCGGCGGCTGTGGTCGGCTTTCTTCTGCGTCGTCCACATCAGGGCCTGTTGACTGCATGATTATTAGGTTTGTTAGTGATTGCTCTTTCTTTGAGATGCAACTGGCGACTCCTCTGGACCTCTGGACTCTGGAGACAGGGTCCACTCTTATTTATTTTTGAAATGGGGGGGGAAATGGCGACGGAGCTTTTTTTTGCTGCTCTCAGTCTGTCAGTGACTGGACCAGTCCTGAAAGAACTTCGCCTCTTGCACTAAAATTTGTTCTTCGCACTCGTACATGCATGACCCCAGAACCAACCACCAACCACCACCAACAGAACGCCCACCCCACACTGCTGGAAGGAAGACGCCATGCCGCTTTCGGTCCAAGATCACTATACCAAATACGTGACCAGCGGAGGCGATGGTCCGACGGTGTTGAAGGATCGTGCTGCATCATTGGGATACGAAGCCGAGTGGCTTCGGTCGTTGGATGATCCCTCTATGTTTCAAGCATCGTGTGGCAGCGGATGCCCTCTCCGTCTTCCGGGAGGATGTCCCACGCAAGATGCACTTGTAATGGATTTGGGTTGCGGAGCTGGTCACGATGTTCTATTGGCAGCTGCGTTGGTAGCAGCAAAAGAAAATGCCAAAGTGGTGGGAGTAGATTTCACTCCAGCTATGCTCGAAGCAGCCAGAACTAACCTAACCAAGCACCCCACACTGGAGCCTCTTGTTGAATTGGTCGAGGCTAGTTTGGAAGACAACGAAAACAACTTGGCAAAGTACCATGGCAAAGTGGACCTGGTTATTTCCAACGGGGTCTTTAACCTCTGTCGAGACAAAGCCAAGGCATTTACGAGTGTCTATAAGCTTCTAAAACCGGGTGGCAGGTTCGTCTTTTCCGATGTCATGAGCGTGGATCGCGACCCGAATGCCCAAATTGCCACATCTATCAATGGAGATGTCTTTAGCAGCTGAATATCGGGGTGTGAGAGGGTGGACAAGTATATCCAAGACCTCTTACCCAACGCTGGATTTGCCAGCACAGTATTTCATGGGTACACATCCTTCTGGACGTCACCATCGACAAGGGGAGGGAACTTTTCGGCATACAAGCCAAACGAGGGAGCATAAAACATGACGCAAGCATGTGACAGGCATACAAAATTGCAAGCAAAAAGGAATCCATCATGATACTGGTACGAATGACGGAAAGAATGGCAAGGCGATGAAGAAACCAAGTCCATCTCTCCTGAAAGTACTTTTAGTGGTGGGTCTTCTCACGTGTTTGGCTAGTAGCTAGCTAATACCTGCCGTGCCTTGCCGTAGGAATCGAATCTAGCATGCCTAATAGTTTAGTGGCATTGCCCGTATATAGTTTTGGCCGTGATGCCACCCATGGTGTCCTCGTAGCCGAGTGTTGTACAGGGTTTGTCTATGTCTATTTGTGTTCTTAGGTTTCTATCTCTTGCTGGGCTGGTATGTTCTGTTCTATTCCACTTTGACACCAACGGGTATGGAACACTTGATCGCCAAGTCTTCCAAGTATCGTTTTTGTTTTTGAGCAGCTTTACTCCAGGGAAGGTAGTCATCATTGCTTCCAGAAGAATTTGCTGTAAATGTGGTGTGGACCACAATTCCTTCCCAGACGCGAGGTTGACCGTATTTCATGAGTTGGCACAGAGCCTCGCAAACTTGTTCCATTTGTGCCGGTGGCAGGTAGCCTGTCAAGTAGATTGATGTGACATGAGGATCCTTTTGAACTGCTCGCAGTACTGCCACCATGCGGTCCGCCGTCTCGTCATGACAATCCAATACTAGCCGACTGCGAAAGACAATCTGCAAACCCAAGTCTTGCTGGATGCAGGATAGACGAGTCTTTATATTAGCTTTTCGTCGCAGCCAGTGTCGGTAGTTGCCACCCGCAATGGTATCGTAAAAGGTCAGTGTTGACCAGGATCGACTGTCTTGCCACAAGAGATCACGAAGTGCCACCAAGGCACATGGATGCTCCGAATGTAGATCGACAAAGTTTGAGAGCTTGATTCGCGTGATGCTCTTGTTGGCTGCGACCTCATCCAATCGCTTCTTCAGACTGTCCAAGACTGCCATACTCGAGTTGGGGTCAACGATAATGCCGGCGTCAATGCTGGGTTCCTGAATTTGCGAACTACGAATCTTGTTGCTTTTGCGGAGGTTCTTCTTGTTGATGCTTGAGGAGCGGTTGATTTTCGTACTGCCGCCAATGGCGGGTGCAGTGACGGTTCGTTGCATACAATTTTTCGTTGAGGCCCGAAGCGCATGGAAGAGATGAGGAAGTCGGTCTTCGTTCTTGATCATGATGGTGTATTGTTGATGAAACTAGGTAGAATTCAGTGAATACGGATATTTGAGTTTGTGTTGATGTCTGTTTTGTGAAGGACTCTTGCACAGAAGCTGTTAGTCTGAATGATTCGCCGGTATGCATCCAAGATCCCACTGGCCCGCAATCAGTTTTCCCCAGTTATCATGAAGCGTTTGAATGGAGATTTTGCCTTCATTTTTGTGTCGCATGGCGATTTCTGCATGCATCCAAGCGTTCACACAAGGACACGTGTACGCCGTGGCTATGCATTCTTCAACCATTTCCTGCTAAGTCTTATTCAAGAGAAGATCCATCAACAGACACTTTAGGCAATCTATCTCTAAGGCTTCTTTGAAGAAGGTTTCCTTGACTCATCCCTCAGACCCAGACCAACAGAACTTCTAACTAATAAGAGTACAGCGTACCGTTACCACCTGGTCCAGTACCGGGATTGTTACATTGTTACCGGTACCAACAAGCACCAGGGACCACACAAGCCGCACGGGCACACCTCACAAACTCCTTCACGACTACTTTTGTGGCTGTACTCAGCCCAGGTCCAACTGCATCCTATCATACATACCGTACTGGAACCAACCGCATAGACTTGGTCCCACGCTCACCATACTTTACCCCCGGTGGGACCTAGATCATGTCAAAGCTAGAGGCCAGCTGATACCATGTCTACAGGCGCGCAATGCTCTTCCACGAGCTTGCTCGAAGAGCCTACTCTGCCCAATAGCCAGTTTGAGGGCTGTCGTAGCCCACATGATTGGTACCGTACAAGGGAGGACATTCAGCTTGTGCCCAGCAGCAGAACGTAATAGCACCATGATGCTGGTGGCCACTTGTTGTTTTGCTTGGTGGCGCCTGAAACAACAAGGCTGCTACATACACAAAACTCGCAACAGGACTGTCGAAAGCGCTCCAACAAGTAAGTAGTGTGAGGTACCGTATGGTTGTTCACTTTTCACTTGCTGGCTTGCAGAAAAGACTGGTAGGTAGCAGACCACCACACCCCTTGTTGCCAAAGTCAACAAAGAGCCATTGCACATTGCACCCAATGGCTGTGTCGCGGACCTAAATCATGGCTTTACACGTACTCTACTAGCTAGTAGTTCAAGGCGTTGACACCTCAGTCTTTCCAAGACTAAAAATGACGTTTGCCCATCACCTGTGCAATGGTCTCGTTCTGCCCTCCAATGCTGCTGGGCAGGGACATGCGCGTTGGACTGGGTGGAGATTGTTGCTCACTTTACGGCAATGAATGTAGGTGAAGAATTCATCCGTTTTTTTAAAATGAGAAGAGTCCAGCTAAAGTTGCTGCCAATGCCCGAGGGTGGTGACGGAGGCCGCTAGGCCACAGCAGGAATGGTGCCCATAGTAAAGCACCTTGACCACCAACCACAGTCTCCTGCACCTAGCACCTCCCACACATGGCCATGAAGCAGCAAAGCACTAGTATTGCAGCCCCTGGGGCTGCCAACATCGTCAATCATTAGATCTAGTGCTACTAACACAAGCCTTACTATCCAGTTTGTACGAGTTCACTTTCAAGAAGCACATAGACGGCAAGGGGTTCATTCGGGTTATCCGCTGCTTCTGCCTTGACTTCGGTGATCGCCGTGTCGATTGCTTCCTTCCAAGCTGCAAAGTCAATTCCCACCAAGTCTTTGTCCAATGGTACAACAATCTCAGTAATTTCTGTCTTATCATCGGCATATGCAGTTTCAAGGCTGGCAGCAGCAAGACCTCGCGCGTTGTGCCACGCATCAAAGTCATAGGTGAAGGATGATTGATTGCATTGATCCCAAGATTGAGTGACCATTTGAAGCCAATCAATAACCTGAAGGGGTCGCCCAAATCCAATCATGAGTTCTTGGTGTTCATTTTTGGTTGAACTACTCATTAGGGTCATGTCCCACGGCATGGGCGACCGAAACATGGCATTCCACAATATCCAACAGACAATGTTAGTGTTTTCGGTGTGTTCATAGTCGGTAAATGCCGCATCCAACATTTTCAAGACAGTTCGGTAGCTGTTGCACGGGTCCAAAAGACCTAGAACTGCAAGTGATTCCTTGTGCGTTCGCATCATACTTTCGCCAATGCTTCCTGTTTGCATCCCTGGAAAATGCGTCATGTCCTTGTTCCAAATGGAGCACTCGTGGTGTCCCGCCGTAATCCATTCTGCCAGGCACCATGCTCTGCCGAAAAAAGCCTCTGTGGAGTTGATTGAAAAGGTGGACATGGAACGTTGAATTTGTGGAAGCTTCCGCAGCGTTCGCTTGAATAATGCCGTTTCGAGTGTGGATTGTCGAGGCTTTTGAGGGATACAACAATAGTCGTACCAAAGCCAAATTCTCTTTGTGGCCCGTTCAAAGCACTGCAAGAACATGTCTTGGTCTCTTGTTGCAGATTCGCTCCTCCACTGCGAGAGTTCGTCCGCAGCAAGTCGTACAAATTGCATCTTTATGGGGGCGGACACCCTAGCGATTGTGCTGCCATTGCGATTATTGCTGTTACTAGTACCGGTGACAGACAAATCGGAAAGAAATCCATCGTCTTGGTGCATTACAAGTTCATCCAGGACCTCGTCAAGAGGGAAACCGCTGCACAAGAGACAATCACAAGCAAGAAATGCTTTCTCCAGCAGAGTCGACAGAAACAAGACCATATTTTTCCAATCATCACCGGTGTTGGGATTGTCGGGAGCAGCCCACGTGTGACTGACAAAGACTTTGGCATGCATTTGTGTTTCCTTTTCGCTACGAACTCGAATCAGGCCATATTTGGGGGGATTGCTTCTTGCTAGTGCGGAATGGAGCGTCAAGAACGTGACCGGCAAGCCTTCTCGAGGCAATCTTACCGAAGGAAGATATTCAGTATCATCATCATCATCATCATCAAGTCGACTGCATCGCTGATGAGTTGTTGTCAAATTTGGCTCGTCTTGCTGTGACAATAAGTGATCAACAAAAGTGTTCAGTATAGTCGTCAGTCGAACATTTCGATGTTCGTCGTCGACATACCAAGAAAAGGCATCAGAAATGATTGAGTGCAAGTCAAATTTCTCAACAGCAAAGCGTATTAAATGACGAGAAATGGTTTCAGCCGTATTGCATCCATTGTAGCCTTCTCGCGCCTCACAAAAGCTCATGTCGTGTTGTTGCATCGTCGTGGCCAATGGATCATCATCAATTTTATGCATAGCGAGGACACAAGATTGCGACAAATCCGGTGTTTGCCGGCAAAATTGCGCTAGTTCACCTGTCAACCAGGAGGTACACTTGTCTTTCGGCTTCTTTCCCATGGTTGTGTTTGTTCATCTTCATCTTCGTAGCGGTACCGGTACTGGTACGGTATTAAAATACCATCTCCGGCTGCTTGTTCTCTCTCTACCGGTAGCTCTAGCTACAGCGTAGCTGGCTAGGAAAGTTATCAGTACACTGTAGTTCGAACCCTTTTTCACAGCTTGACACCTCAGTCTTTCCAAGACTAAAAGCTGACGTTTGCCCATCACATCCACAACCACAAACCACAAAGATTTGCGTTCTGTCGCTCTGCGATATCTTCCAATCAGTACCCACAACAGTTTCCCACCAGCATTATAGAGACAGAAGAAGTCCTACCTTGTTGCAAATCTTGGGAGCGGCAATCATGGTGTTTGGAAGTAATAACAGCAAGATGACCTTTGCTCTTGGGATTATCATCGTCCTTGCCCTGGTTCCCTTGGCGTCCACCTGGACTTTGCTACCATTTCCAACCGGGAAAAGGCTAGCAGTACGGCCTTCCACCCATTATAATTTACCATGGTCCTCGAAACCCATTTCATTGGTACCAGCACAACCAAGAGCAAGAATATTATACCAGGCGAAGAAAAAGGATATTGAAGAAGAGGAGGAGGAAGAAGTGTTTGTCGAAGGTGAATGGGAATATGAAGTCGAAGAAGTGGAAGTGGAAGAAGAGGAGGAGGAGGAGGTCGAACTGGACGAAGAGGAATACGACGAATATGATCTGGAGGATGACGATGAAGAAGGTAAGACTGGTGTATGTGAAGTGGCAATCTACTCAATGAAAATATTGACTGGCTGAATTGTGCACTGGCCTCTAGAAGAAGTGGTGGTGGATGATGTGGATGATGTAGAGGTGGTAGAAAGCACTGGTAAAAGTGAAGAGGAGGTTTGGGTGGAAGAAGAGGTAGTAGTGGAACCCGCCGCCAAAGAAGTAGTCGCCACGGTGGAATGGGAGGAGGAGGAAGAAGAAGAAGAATTTCCATTGCAAGACGATCCGAGCAATCCCAACTACATGAAACAACGAGAGCTGATTGAACAGGACGTGGCTGCGTCGGAACAACGACAGCGAGATCGGGACTTTGACCCCTACGACTTTATGCAAAATCAAATGACACCCGAGATGATGCAAGAAATGGATCAACTTCCCTTTATTCAAGAAGCCGTCGCCCGCGCCAAGGAAATGACACTTACCGAAATGGATTTGGACGGCATGGACATTGCAAAAGAACTCCAAAATGTTCCCGATCTCATGGACGATGATCCGTATCCGCGTCACGAACCAGACGAAATCAACCATCTCGAACGCAACGTGGGACTTACCGACGATGATATGGAACAGGTCGACAATTCGTGGAAAATGCTAAAAGCGAAAATCAACGAACCGCCGTTTGATTTGGTGGCGGTGCGGGCCAACCAGGGCATTGACGGACTCGACAATGAAACCGTGGCAGAAATTGAAAATGTACTCGAGGAAATGGGAGGAGCGCCGTATAATGTTACCAAAATGTTACTGTACGATTTGGAATTCAATGTTACCAATCTCATGTTGGCGGCCGTGAAACACAACCGCGAAGCACCACTCTTTTTGGCACACTGGTATCCACAACTCATCACGTACGAACGTTATGCGCAAGATCGGGAAACCAATTTTGACTATTCCTGGGACGATGTGGAAGCGGCCGACCTGGACGAATTGAAACGGTATTACAAGGGAATGGGGCACGATGAGATCCCCTCCAAGGCTCCCGGTGAGACGGGCATTATCGAATTTGATTATCTCGATGAAGAAGAAATGAAAATGGCAGCCTTTGAAAGCTGGATGACAGAAGTGTACAACCCCGAAATGGACCGAAAGGACTTTGATGATGACGATATCATGGACGAAGACAATGTGTTTAGTGAATTCTACGTGCCAAAACGACATCCGGATCTACCCACCATCAATGAGACTGTCACCGAACTCAACGCGTACATGGCCGGATTGCCGCACGATGAGTTCACTCCCGAGGATATTGCCTACAGCAACTTTACGCGACAGTCATTCACGTACGAGGAACTCATGGACGATGAGTTTCAAGAACAATTTCGTGGTCATTTGGTCGTAGCATGCACACCGGAAGACTCGGATTTGGAAATTGCGGAAAAAATCACGGCCGCCATGGACAAGGCGCTGGGTAAGCAACTCTATGTGGAAACGCGCGTGATTTCGCACGCCAAACTAGAAGACAATGTATTCGAGGTTTGGCTGGAGAGCTACGAAATTGACTTGCTGCATTCCAAGAAACGAGCCACCGGTAATGTTCAGGAATGGAATGGTCCAGCAGAATGTGACGACAAACAGATCGAAGCCTTGGTGGAGAAAGTGAGCTATCTGATAAGTGATGAGGCTCGGTACAGCTACACTCTGGAATTTGATGGTGTGGTCTAGCCAACGTACCGTGCTGTTCGTCGCGTTGACTGAGCGCCCTTGTGGTAGAGTGGCGTGTGCAGTTTGTCAACTTCTAAGTACCAGTACTCTAAATATCACGTTGGGAATCTTATGGAGCCCTGTTTGTGTTCATGCATAATAAATTGTAAATTCTCCGGTTTTCATTAATTCAGCGACAAGGACTTATATCAGTGTCCTTCATCGCGAGACCCAGGGCAGCCATTGTCCCGTAGCCACTGGATTACTTCAGTTCTCTCGCTTCCTAAGGCAGCATGAAATGTTGAGGTATCCCATTGACAACCATTTTCACGAGCCCACTTGAGCACGTCAAGGTGACCCATTCCAGCAGCCTCTTCACATGTCCGTTCATCCCATGGACAACCGTTTTCACGAGCCCACTTGAGCAGAGCAAGGTAACCTCCATCAGCAGCACTGGCACATGTCTCTTCATCCATGGACAACCATTTCACGAGCCCACTTGAGCACAGCAAGGTGACCTCCTACAGCAGCATTGGCACATGTCTCTTCATCCATGGACAACCATTTTCACGAGCCACTTGAGCACATCAAGGTGAGGTCCTGCAGCAGCAAATTCACATGTCCGTTCACTCCATGGACAGCCATTCTCACGAGCCCACTTCAAAGTTTCCAAATGGCATATTGAGCAGCCCAAGCACATGTCCAAAATCCCATGGACAACCATGTCACGAGCCCACTTAACTTCCAATGCCCATTTTGAGCAATGCAGGTCTCCATCCCATGGACAACCATTTTCAAAAGCCCACTGTAAGGTTTCCAATTGACCATTTGCAGCGGCATCCTTGCATGTCTCTTCATCCCAATGACAACCATTTTCACGAGCCCACTTCAAAATTCCAAGTGGCCATTTGAGCAGCGGCGGCACATGTCTGTTCACTCCATGGACAGCCATTTCCGTGAGCCCACTCTAAAATTGTCAATGACCATTTAGAGCAGCAAGCATGCATGTCTCTTCACTCCATGGACAACCATTTTCACGAGCCCACTTCAAAATCTCCAAGTTGCCATTTTGAGCAGCGGCGGCACACGTCCATCCATTCCATGGACAACCATTCCATGAGCCCACTTATTCCAATGCATTTAGCAGCCAAGCATGCATGTCCTTCACTCCATGGACAACCATTTCACGAGCCCACTTCAAATCTCCAAGTGGCCATTTTGCGCAGCGGCGGCACATGTCCCTCTAGCCCATGGGCAACCTTTCTCGCGTAACCATTGGAGCATTTCCAAATGTCCATTTCCAGCAGCACAGGCACATGTCTCATCGTTCCATGGGAATCCTTGTTGGCGTGCCCATTCCATGACCACAATATTTCCAATTTTGGCAATTGAATTGCAAAATTGATGAGGATCAGGTGCCTTATCAATGGACCTGTCTGTCTCACGCCAGTATGCTGCACGTGGCACATTGCAAAATGTTTCACTGTAAAGAGTGTCGGTGATTTCTGCAGGGCGACTGTCCTGGATGATGACATTATCCGGGTTATCCTTTACCTCTCTTGGATTCTTCTTTAGTTCAATTTTACAGTAGTCTTTGTACAGCTGATATATCTTTTTGTTGACAGCTCCTACAAAACCGTACTGTCCAATGCCAACAAACGGTAGTATCTGGCCAATCCAAATCAAATCGTCAGCAAACACAAGAGATTCGAAGGGAGGAGACATTTTCTGTTTCTTATTGTTATTAGCACTGCTATTGGCAGCAGTACTGGCAACAGTACCAATACCAGTAGCAATACTATCAGAAGACATGATACTGCCAACAGGAGGAACGGACTCAGCAGTGCCAGTCACGGTGGTAGTGGTTGTGAAATCGTACTGTGCAAGCCGAGGTAGTGGTTGTGAAATCGCACTGTGCAAGCCGAGGTACTAGTACAATAATACAGTAGGGACTTTTCTAGTTGCCCTCAACGGACTGAGGGTCTTTCACACTTTTATCGCTGTATGTGTGTGTGTGTGTGTGTTTGTTGCAGCTGTTTTCGTCGCTCGTTAAGGATAGGGATTAATCTTGTGTGTTCTGTTGGACACAGTAGTTTCTACGCATAGGTACCAGTACTGGCTGGCTATGCAGACTCGCTAGTGTGTCCAGATAAACACGGTGGAGGTTTTGCCAAAGACATAAGGGACATTTTCCTTGTTAAGGATAGGGATTTATATTGTGTGTTCTGTTGGACACAGTACTCTGGACCCATGGGTACTGATACCACTGTGCCCGTACTGGCTGGCTATGGAGACTTGTGTGTCCAGTTGAACACGGTAAATGATTTGACCAATCAAATCTCTTTTTGACAGTTGAGGGCATCAGCCTCCGGCTGCTTGTTCTTTTCTTATTGTGTTCCTTCCAGCTCCTGTTGCATGGCCCTCCGCAAAATACCATTGCAGCACGTGCCTCCGCACGCCGGGCAGCAAATGTGCGGACTGAGGACTCGTGATCGAAAGATCGATTAGTGTTAGAGATTATACATTTTTCCAGACGTGCATGCAGGTTTACGCCTGTTTCGGGCTGCTGAGCGAGACCCGCCAAACAGGTGAAAGCAAACCGAAAGAGACTCGTCCAAAGCAACCTTGTGTGTTTCCATCAGCTTTAAGAGGAACTCAAGACTGACAGCAGCAGAGGAAATGACAAAGAAGAGGTGTGGTAGCTCAGTGGCAGAGCAACCGGTTGCAGCCCGGTGAGTCGAAGGTTCAATTCCCACCCACATCTTTCAAAACCCGTCATCCTTGTCCAGGCATGGTAGCTCAATGGAAGAGCATCAGTCTTCTGAACTGAAGTGTGCAGGTTCGAGCCCTGTTCATGCTAACCTGAGATGGTGGCCCAATTGGGAGGGCGTCCGACTGAAGCTCGGAAGGTTGTCAGTTCGAATCTGACCCATTTCACAGGCCAGTTAGTTGCCAGGCCACAATCCTTGGTATGGTAGCTCAAAGGTTGAGCATCAGGTTCCTAACCTGAAGGGTGCAGGTTCAATTCATGTCCATACTTTCAACTAATATGGCGGCTCAACAGGCAGAGCATCAGATTGAGATTCTGAAAGTTGCGAGTTCAAGTCTCGCCCAGATCACCACAGCAGAGGTCCGGACTCTGCCCCCTGTGATAACAAATGTGTTCTAATGGTAGGATGCGAATTTCGGGACATGGCGATCTAGTTTGTTTCAACTCGCATTGGTATGTTGGCATCTCTGGCCCCAACTTTCAAACAAATCAACCAACATGTTTTTAACTCTTCTAGTGTATCGCTGGCCTCTCCTGTGCTGGAAACCTCTGGTTTAGTGGCTGGATTGGGGTCCTGCCGCTAGCTAACAGCCTCGGGTATGGTGGTTCAAGCTCTGCCTATACTTTTGCACAAGGTGGCCAAATGATGGTTGGGTGCGAACATCGTCGTCCGTCCACAAAGATCCACATCACTGCCATTGCAGGGATGCCAAGCCATAGTTCCGCTCCACTTTGAAGACAGTGAGGAGGCAGATAGTTGGCTCCACCTACTTTGAATCTCATCTGTTCTATGCTTTGGGGCTGCTACCGTGCACCAATTTGCTTGGCGGACAACATTGATGCCCCCAATTGAGCAGGGCGGCAGGGGAAACTAGTTTGCCAATGCGTGTGCATGTTCTGTTTCCTAAACATTGTCTCAAGGTACAAAACGACCTGCGCTCAGAAATCCACGATCCGCTACCGGTACTGTCTAAAAGACCAAAAAAGCCAAGCCCACTTCTAACAACCACAGGCATGATCAACCCATAACAGATTTATGTTTGTACCCTATTGGTCGAACTGGCATCCTTGCTTGACGAGATTGAATTTCCTTGAATGCGCAAAACAGGTTGCCTTGGCTGTATTGTACCGGCACGGCAACCAGTGGGCTTTGTCTTTGGGCCACCGGTTCATTCCTATGCAGATTGCTGTTTCATTTAAATTTTGAGTCTAGGTCTTTCAAGATGGTTCGAGCAACTCTCTCTCCAGAGAGATAGCCTCCTTGTACCCAACCATTGTATTTGTTATCAAATGCCTCCCCTGCAAAGTAGAGCGTAGTGGGTTTGTCGTTGGCGTTGTTGTCATTAGTATCGCAACCAGTCAATCCGCGCCGGAGATCCTCAATGGGAACCGTGGCAAAAGCATTCTTGGGAAATGCCGAGTACGATCCACAAAAGCGTGGATTGCGAGACCAATCAGTTACGGCCACGGCCACGGGTCGGCAATCTTCCGCACCCCCAAAGGCTTTGGAAAACAGTGCTTGTACTTCATCTTTGATTTGTTCCTGGCTCAGTGACTCGACACGTCTGGCATTGTCGCCACCTTGATAACACATATAGAGGTGTTCGTCTTCCTTGGCCGTTTTGTATCTCATCCAGAGGGGATAATATCCACGGTTGTCTTCTCCATCGGAAATAAACACGAGATAGTCCTTGTCTGCAGGCCACAGTCGTTTGCGGAATTTGGCATAGACCTTGGCAAAGCAAAACATTTCAATTCGATTCAAGGCGGTCACTTTCCAGTCGGGGAACGGAGGATCAAAGTGTATTTGTTGTTGTTGCAAGACGCCGACAGAGACCGTGCTCACAATTCGATCGGCGTGATATTCTTTTGTCTCGCCGGTTGTCAAATCCTTGGCCACAACCTTGACCATTCCGGGTGCATAGTGAATGCTTTGCACTGGATGTTCCAGTAATAGGTCTACCTGTGATGATGATGATTGTTGTTGAAGATCTTGTACCATGCCTGTAAAGATGCTATTGAATCCTCGTGGATCCTCCACAAAGAGCTCGTCCTGTCCCAACTCGACATCGTTCATGCCCGGTCTTAGTTCATGAGCCGCACTGAGATTCTCGATTGAATCATGGGCCCACACTTCCAAGACATTGTGTTCCACGGCACGTTCCAGATTGTTGAGTTTGTCTTTGGGAGTCCAACCATGGGATTCGAGCACGGTGCGAACATCCGTGTCACTCGTGTAAGACAGCGATGCCCCACTTTTGTGCAAGGCTTGTTCGTAAATGGCATCGAATCGTTGCACCAGTTCCAGATATTCCTTGGTGACCACAACAGCACCATTATCAGTATTATCAGTATTGCTACTAGTAGTACAGTCCACGACATGTATTCGCTCGGGATTTTCTCGGTCACTGGCTTGTCCTTGTAACTCAATCGCTTTGGCGAGTTGCCAAATGGGATTGTCAAAATTCTCAATGAGTTCGCGGCCGGAGATCCAATTGGCGCCTCGTTCTACCGTGTGCCCTTCAAACTCAAAGTGCCGGACTCGTCCACCCACATAGTCGTTGGCTTCTAGAATGGTAATCTTTTGGATTCTTTTTGAAGGCAGAGATTCTTTCCAGAGCGTATGTGCCAATTTGATGCCAGCGGCACCCGCGCCCACCACCACAACATGTGCACCTTCATTCTTCTCATTTGCCATGGTTGATGATACAGCAGCAGCAAGACAGAGCAGCAATATGATGATACTAGTAGTCCAGTAATAAAGTTTCATCAGAATAGACTTGCTAGAAGAATGGAATAGAGAACTTCGACAGCAAGGGAGATGCCACAACAGGATCGACACGTGCAAAAGATGCGACGGTGGGAAGGGCGGCCAAAACTTTGGAGAAGCTTCACCGAAGCGGAGTAAACTCATTTTGCCGGCTTATTATGTGCGCTGTGCCAGGCCCTTGTCATTGCGTGTTTGTTTTTGCCGCAACCGTGGAATGAACCACCCAACGTGGAATTTCGTCTCCCGGAGACGATTTGCTTTTAGGGGTAAGGGTACCGATGGGGAGTGGAGGTTTGAATTATACCCCGCGTGCATTACTTAGAGGCCTCTGTAGAAGTCTACGTATTTGACTAGTATTGTATTGACGGGATACAGTCAACGCATGTACATGCACATGAAAGTCGCCTTGCGTTCTTCACATTTTTCGCATGAATGAGGGATCGGATCTGAATGAGCTCGAGCGAGGAAGCGGTTTCGGTTTCGGTTTCGGGGCGAAGCAAAAAGAAAGGGATGAGCGCGCGGAGCGCGCGAATACTGTTTCAGGTGTTGGTAATAAAAGATTTATGGAAACGGAGACGACCCAGGGGGCATATGAATAATTAGGGTTGCGGTCAAACTCCAGAGGAAAAGATCGCCATCGTCGAAACGACGCATCCAATGTCTCTGAGCAAAGAGCACAGAAGACAGAAGGAGGGGACGGGTATCATCAACAATGCCGCTCGATACAAACAACGATACCAGTACAACCGATGGTAGCAGTAACAAACGTGCTGCCACGGAAGGCGAAGAAGGATGGACGACAGACAACGATGTGGAAGCGGAGGACGTTGCCACGGATCCCATTACCTCGGATGTTCTCAAATTGACGCAGCAAGAATTGGGAGAGCTGTCGTTGGCCGATCAGGAGCAAGTGGTGTACGATCTCTATGGTTTTTCTGGCCCTGTCGATGAATCTCAACCTGGTTTTGTAGAACAGAAAATGGAGGAACTCCAAAAGGCATTGGACCAGATTCCGCCTCGTCGCAAAACGGCCTACAGCATGGCTTTGGGCATCAACGAGGCGTACGTTACAAACCACTCATTCCGACTCCAGTTTCTACGAGCCGATCGCTTCCAGCCAAGTCCAGCGGCCACTCGTATGGTGACCTATTTCGAAACCAAATTGGACCTGTTTGGACGGGATCGTCTGTGCATCGAGTTGACTCAAGACGATTTGGATCCGGAATCGCTGGAAATTCTCTACATGACATGGTTCTGTGATTTGCCCGTTCGAGATCGTGCCGGACGACAAGTCGTCGTTCAACTCTCCAAACCCGGTATTGACTGTTATTCACTCCCCGTGACACAACGAATGCGCGTCCTCTTTTATACGCTCTGTGTTAGCGCTCGTGATCCGGAAACGCAAAAGCACGGTCGCGTCGCACTGTTGTGGGTGGCGGGGTCGTTGGGCAAAGCATCGAGTTTGTGGAAAATTGCCGGCATGTATGCGTCGTCGCCCGTTCGCATCCAAGGCTGTCATTTGTGTGTTGATATTGCACATGGGTACAGTACTCCCATTGTCAGTATTGTGCAGCTGTCCATGAACAGTATGCTGCGAGTACGAGTGAGACGGCATATTGGGACTCCTCAAGAAATTTTTTATTCTCTCATGACATATGGGATCCCCGTGGAGTTTATCCCCATTGGAGAGGATGGAGAATTTGCGCATCAATTGCACACGGATCGATGGAAACGAATTCGGACACAGGAGCAATGGTTGAAACAACTGCAGCAGCAGCAGCAACAGAGTTTTGTCAGTCAAACCAAAGCAGCACTACCACAACCTGTGGGTGCGACTGTTGCCACCAATGTCCAGGCGGTGGATAAGGCAGCCTTGATGGAAAAAGCCGATGCCATGGTGATGGCCAACCGCAACAACGACAACAATCTCGCTGCTAATAGTATTGGTAATACTACAGTTTTGGTGGTGGTAGACACCCCCACCAATCACGATGTTCTCATGGGCAAGGGACGAGGGGCACACGAACATGTGGGCAATATTCTATTCCGAAATCTCATTGAAAAATGCCGACCGCAATACGATGCTGCCACCAAGACACAGAAAACACAGCTCGCCAAGGACATTGTTCGAATTGTCAAGGAGGAATGGAAGGGGCGCTTCTTGCGGGACGACGTTAAAGGATGGATCCCCATTACCGACGAGTTGACCATTCGTCGCAAGGTGAGTGTGGCATTCCGAGATGCTCGCAAGGCACCCAAGGGAAAGAAACAAAAACAGCAGCAGGCGGCTGCAACGGAGATTACACAGGAAGAAGACGAGTTGCTGCTGCCATTGGAGGACCCAACATGGGAAAACCAGCCTGCCATTGATATGGTCGTGCTAAAGGCGTAACAATTCGCAAAATAACGAAACGATGGATCAAACAAAGAATAGCCACCCTGACGACCGACGACAGAATCCATTGCCCAACCAGGAAAAGTGCCACTCCGACCCAGACCCCGCAAGCAAAGCCACCCTAACTACTAGTACATACATGCATGTATTCCACCCTAAATGCATGCAACCAAGTACTACACGTGCTGTCTGTAGTACATGTAGAATCGAATCGAGTCGACTGTGTTTTCTGACTGACAAAACAAAACTTTGTCTGCCAGACAATCGCTTCATGAGAGTGAACTCCGTTGCCGTATACTACATGTACTAGCTGGGTCTCTCCATATCCACCACTCAGCACAGGACTTGGTCCATTCATGTAAATGATGCTCACTGGCTTCCGTAGAGTATTTAACTACTGTAAACTCCCTTTGACTGCAAAGGATGCTTGCAATGGCCTATACCGTCTTGCCAATCAGTCATGCCCACCTCTGTCACAGGGGTATCCACCAGGCTCATCAAATACAGTGCTCGGGGCCTGCAAGTGCTTCGGGCCCTGATGTTTGAGATGATGATTTCGACTCTGACATTCGATTCGATTCGATTCATGTTGGATTGATCGGCGCAATCGTGGAATGAACCGCAACGTGGAGCTTTTAGGGTTGCGGCTGCAGTGTAAGTCGCCATCACCAAAACGAACGCAAAATCCAATCTTGATGAGTGACGACGAAGCTCCTCGGGGTCTCATTTTTGTTTGCTACTTTGGCATCCTACTGTACGGAAGTGTAGCTCTTGACTACTTCTTTTAAAAGTTGTGCATCATTGTTTCCCAACCTGAACTGGAACCGAAGCAACGATACCGACATCAGAAATGAGAGTCACGCCTCTGATCCTCTTGGTGGCCGCGTTGCCACCGATCGTTGCCTTTTCGTTGGTTGTGCCCAGGTCGTCGTCATCATGCAGTAGCCAGAAGAAGCTTTGTCCCTCCTTACTATTTGGTGAACCCATGATGGGAGCCACCACAAGAACAAGACTACGAATGACCACCAAGCCAGACAAGGACGAACAGAAGAGGAAATCGGGAGAAGACGAGGAGGACGAAGATATGGAAAAATTTTCCGCCTTTTTGCAACGCATGAGTCAATTGCCTCTGGTCAATGGCAACGTGGTGGTACCACCAGAAGACAACACCCGTACTACTGACAACAACAACAACAAGCAATCCTCCGCCAACAAAGAAACGCCTCCTTCGGGGCGCAATCCATTTCTCAGCCCCTTTTTTGGTCTCTTGAATCTGGAAGACGTGCTGGGTAGTAGTGTTACTACCAACAGCAAAGATGCTCTTCTTCCTACTAGCAAAATGAACAGTAAATCCACCAAAGAACGTCCCACAGCAGAAGTCATCAACTCGTGGGGTCGCTTTGTCACTACGCTGCGACAATCCATTGGAGATCCCTTTGGCAATGAAACTGCCACTTCAGGCACAGTCGAGCCACCCTCTTTTTTTACATCCTCCTTTTTATCGAGTGCCTCGACGGCCACGGACGATTTTGTACGAGAAGCATCGACCATTGCCGAATCGGTGCTCGTGGCAGCCTCCACAGCGGTTTCCCCCGATGCCTTTACCAACGTCATTCAACAAGCCCGCAATGTGTTGAAATTTCAAGACGACCTCGTGGCCGCCGCCACCAAGACGGCGCGGGATCGAGGGTTGGATGGATTTGAAGCCGCCGAACGAGCGCGGAATACTACCGATTATGTAGCCAGTCTCGTGGCCGTGGCCGATCAAGTCTTGCGATCTGGCTATGTCCAAAAGGAAGGCAGCTATGCGGCTATTGCGGGCGATCGCGATGGTCAAGCCATGCTCTTGTTGGGCGATAGTAATGACGATAGTTCGTCCTCGTCCAAACCGCTCTTTGACAAGATTGCATCCGCCCGAGCAATTAGTTACGAAGAATTTGGACCCGCCATTAGTACCATTGCCGAAATGGGATGGTTGTCGGGAGGCATTTATGAGAATCAAGTCGAACGGCCGCATGAACTGGAACACTCCATTGTCGCCGAAGGCATTAGTGCCGATGTCTATTGGATGATTACCGATTCGGTGGAGAATGAAGCGGACTATGTCCTTGATTCCAATAACGACGACGCCAAGGACATTTCCGTACGGACGATTATTGTACGGGGCTTTGATGCCTCGGATGAACGAGTGGATCGGGAAGAGTTGTTGAATGAAATTTGCAACCTCAAGTCCCAACCATTTTTTGATGACGATGACGACAACAACATACCAGGTCTGGTGGTTCATAGTGGCTTGTATAAACTTGCCAAAGCTGTCTACCAGGATATCCAACGGTATATTGACTGGTCAGCACCCGCGCAAAAGATTATCTTTACGGGACATTCGGTAGGTGGATCCATATCCCTGCTGTTGACACTCATGCTCGCCCGAGATCGAGGAGGTAAGAACGAACTGGGTTTTAAGATCGATCATGGCTTTAAAAGTTTTGTCCACGGACTCGCTTCTCAACCGTGGTTTGTACGTACTGGGGATGCTAGTCGACTTTGTACGCAACAAGATATTGAGGGTGTTTACATTTGGAAGCCCTCCAGCTTTCATGCTGGAAAAGACTGTCGAGCGAAAGGTGCCGTCTCAGGGATGTGAGATTTTGGACTTGTTCGGTTTGCCAGCATCGCTGGTCTATGGACAGGTGCAACCCTGGGACCCAATCCCTCGCCTGTTTTCTCCCATTGACGGTTTGTACCCACTCGTTGATGATATCGGGGAAGACGGGGTGACTCCGTATGCCAGTGGTCCGCCGCGGTCCCTCCGTTTGGTGACGCGTGCTTTAGTGGAGGCATGGGAAGGCTGGCCCCAGTTTCGGGACAAGATGAGAGCTGCAGGACCTCAAGGGTATCAGCCGGTCGGGTTACAGCATATCATACTACCCGAGCCAGTCCGGTATCTCACGGATCGTTTTGTGAACGTCAATGTGAACGTGCCACCCGCAGACGAACTTGTACGGGTATCCCCCGCAGAGCTTTACGAGGCGTTGGAAACCATCTTCCCATTGGATGTTTTTGAATTGAGTTATGTCACATCAGCCATTCGCGGGTTCCTTCATCATTTCTACCCTGCGTATGATGCGCCCCTGGTGGCCTATGCCCAAAAGGTAAGCCGGGAAAGCATGGTACAAACCAAACAAGAGGAATTGGTACAAAGCATTGATACACCGAAAGTGGCTGACGAGGAGGAAGGCTCCGATGGAAGCAACTCGTGGGGTTCCGCAGAGCAATGGCTCAAGAATGTTGTTCCCTCGGAGTGATGTCATGTCATCAGAACAACGGGGACCTCCTGGCTTGATGGTGCTGAGATGGCAGAACAGCGGGGGCCTCTCTGGCTTGATGGTGCTCAGATGCAAGGAATGCGAGAAACCCTGGTGTCAGCGGTTACTGATTGAGATGGACTCACGCAACATCTGCTGCGGTCGCCATGCCAGGAACCCTCAAGCCAGAAAGACCAGTGCCAATGCAAAGTCTCAAGCTGGACGGTCTAGACCAATAGATATACTACTAGCTAGTTCGCTCCCCGCGCCGTCAAAAGATTGGCTGACTATCATATCCCATACAGTAGACACCGGTACGTAGAGTGCCAACCTAGGTGATTTCCTGGGACTGTAATCTGCAACCAACCTGTAGTCAAGACGAGATACTTGCCGAGCGACAATCTGCCTAGCAGCACTGCCACAGATGCATGTGAAGACTCAGATGGCAATCCGTATGGCTCCATCAGGGGCTGGACGACAAACATGCATACCAGTACCTGGCACTGGTACCCGTTGCTGAGTCCTACAGCAGCAACGGCAATACATACCGGTACCCATTGGAAGCTGCGTACAACCAGACAGGCATATTTGATACCCAATGTTTGTGCCATTGCATCTCCCCCCAGTTTGTGCGTTCTTTCGGTAGCGCTACTATAGTGCAGGTTGGGACAGCTGGTACCGGTACCGTATGTTCACACTGGAGGAAGGCTTAGTTTCAAGTGAAATACTGTTTCAAAGCTATTCTGGTTTAGAGTCGGCTGGTAGCTACCGGCACAATTCCCAGGCGTTTCTCATCTCTTTGCAACTTGATCTTGCAACGCCTTCTCCATTCGATCCAGCCAAGTTTCACGCCACACTTTTCACGCAGGTTCCAGTCTGTTTCCTTTTTGGCTCCTTCACTCAGGTTTTGTGCTCTGTCCAGCAAGTCCAGGTATATTTCAATCTCCTCCTCCAACACACAACATAGCTTCCTGTAGGCCTCTTGAGTAATTGGTGAGGGATGGTGCTTTTCACTTCCGTGAGACACTGCCTTAGTGTTGTCAAAGGTGGTGTTTCCACCCAAGTAGTTGTTGGCGAGATGTTGGATGTCTTCCCATTCATTTTCCGTGCGAATGGCCAGTACTTCTTTGTCGGGAAAGGCATAGGCAGTACTGCTTGCATAGTATCGATAGTTATATTCCAAATGAAAGGAACCAGTGTTGAAGGTGCCGCTCGCAGCGCCACGGGCCTTTTTGCGACAATCCATTTGCTCACGTCGGGATTTGGTGGCCAAGGATGATGGAACGGTTGTGTTGGGATGTGTTGGATCTGCCTTCCATGGCGACATGACACTTTGTGCAAACTCCTCGGCGGCTGCATATGGAAAGCAGAATTTGAAGAAGACCCCAGTTGGCCCTTTTTGCTTGTTCCCAGCTTTGTTTAGGCGGTCGGCCAGAAGGCAGCCAAGCGGCAATTGGCTACCCTTGTACACACTGCGATCATGGTGACAATTTTGGATGTGAGCGTACCGATATGCGGACAACACTCTATCCACAGGGCTGCGAAGCACGAAGAGGAAGGAAGTGGATTGCCGAAAATATGATTGTCGGTACGACCACATGTGAAAGTAGTACTGAGTTTGACGTCCCAGCAGATCTCGTTTGTTGCGATGTTTCTTGTCAATGCATCGGCGAATCTCGTTTTGGGTTCTGTCATGATCCAATGGTAGACGGCAGGTCAAGCTGAGCTTGTTCCGCAAGCTCATGCCTCCAGCCTTGCCAACTTGAACGAAAGAAAGAGACGCATGAGGTATACTGGAAAGCAATTTGGTTGTTTTATGCTTCCTAGCCAGAGTTTCGATGCCGCTTACCATGAACAAAGGTTATGATTCGTTCTTTTTCTGTGGGTATCTTTTGAACAATAATCTGGTTGTCTTTTGGGATGAGGCTATCTCCTTGTGGCTTCTTGTTGCTAGCTTCTCGTTTGCCGGGGCGTTCTCCTTGTTGCTGTTGCTTTGGGCCATGAATTTCATGTGCACTCTGCTTCATACCCTCCTTTTGCTTGTTTTGTTTCATGTCTGTTTGTTTCATGTTCTGATGGCTTTGTCGTTGCTTCATGTTCTTCTGTTGATGACTTGCAGTGTTCTCAGAGGCTGTCTCGTTGCTGTTTTGAATTGCATTGTTCTCACGTCGCTGGTTTTCTTGTTTCTCTGGGCGCTTTCGTGCCGGCTGCTGTAGATTGCCGGTCTTGAGATTGTTTTCCAGGGATTCTGCTTCTTTCGCTGGCTTCAGTGATTTGCTCGCTTTCTGTTGTCCTCCTCCCTTCTTCGGGAGTGTCTGGATATCTTGCAGCTGCCCACGAGGTCGTTGTCGATCGCTTTGTCGTTGGCCAACTTCAAAAGCCTTAGCTGGGTGCATTAACGCATCCTCTGCACCTTTTTTACTAGTATGGATTGACTCCTGCTTTCTCCTTCCAGCTCGTTGGTCTGGAACCTCTTTTGATCCTTGCTCTGCCTTTTCTTCTTGGACACCAGATTGTTGACTCAGTGGAGCAGACGTCCGCACTCTTATCGTTGAGCCTTTGGATTGCTGTTTGTTTCCCCTGTCATGGCGTTGTTGCGCTTCTTTCACTTTTGCTTCTGCCTGCAGCTTTCTTTTCCTTGCATCCTCTGACAGCCCTTGATGCTTTGCCTCGTCGCCGGAAGGAATTTGAGGTTGTTGCGGATCCAAGACAAAAACAGAGTCGTCAAGAACAGATAATGATCTCTCTCTAATAGAGGAAGGCGAGGACTGGAACATTGCATGACAGGAAATAAAGGCGAACACCAATGCCCCCATTCGAAGCAGATGAATAGAGGATCTCTTTCCGATCAATGACGAGTGTTTTAGCCAGACTGCCGTTGCTTTCAGATCTCGCGCACTTCCCGATCCCCAATTCTTGGGGGCCTCCATTTGGGGAGCGTATTTTCGTTGTTGGACCATCATGGTGGGTTCTGCAAGATTTGTGGACGTTGTCTTGATGTGCATCTCTGAAGCTAAATAAATGCACATAATATTCACAAAGCTAGTCTCAAGCAGCCGGAGGCTTGGAGCCAATGACCGAAAAAGATACAAAAGATCTGTTCCGAATTTTTACTCACACACCAAAGTGTCCCAAATAGTGAAGTTTCGAGTTCTATTTCGAGTTTTTATTCATGTTTGGTGCTAATACATCCAATTATCAGTCTTTTTTACGTGTTTTCGAGTTTCATGTTTCATGGCCAGACGCTCTAGTGGGATTGGTTGAAAGGATCGGGTAAGAGAGTGCCAACTGATCAACATATCCAAGCCTCGTCCTTTTGTGAGGGGCTCACCGGATCATTCCCATGGATCCAAGCCACTGGTATCCTCCTCTTTTTTCATTATTTCGATACCTGTACCTTTAGTCTATCTCTACTCTATCTAGAGGATGTTATCTCCTCTTTACTCGTTACAGCGGCTGCTCCTTGTGAAGACAGGCTCCTCTTGTTTGGTTCTGGAAGCAGCGGTAGCAGGAGCGATATTTCAGTTCGAGTTCTTTCTTCCAGGGAGTCTCTTTCGCGGAGTGAGCAACCATCTTTCACGGAGTGAGCAAACCATGACACCTCGCAGCGAACGGCCATTATCGTACACCAGTGCAGGGCTGGAAACAGCGGCACCGCAGCGAGCTTCTTCATTCGACGGATCGATGACTGCTTCGACGGAGCCACCATGAGGCTTCATCTTCCACAGCATGACCATGGCGCTTCCTCTTGAAGACTATATCACTATGACCAGGCTACCTGTCACGCTATTACGCTATTACCTCCAACATCCGCTGCGGTCGCCCCGCCAGCCAGAAAGACCAATGCCAATGCAAAGTCTCAAGCTGGACGGTCCTAGATACTACTAACTAGTTCCCTGCGCCGTGGAAAGATTGGCTGACTATCATATCCCGTACAGTAGACACCTGTACGTAGTGAGCCCCCGTTAAAACTCATCACATGCATACTGTGCATTACCATGGTGGGCTCTTTCTTCGCCGGTTCAAGAGGGCAGACTCGTCTCTGGTACTGGCTACCAGCTAGACTCAGGGAGGTCCTCAGTGTGTTGGGATGATGGGACAAGTAGGGAAAGCGTTTTCCGTTTGTACGGGTACACTTGGAACCCAAAGTACTAGTACTTCAAAGTTTGAGTTCGGGCAAGCTGATTGAAGATTCGATTACGATTTTCTAGCTACTATCTAGCTAGGCCAGACAGACATAAAATACTAGAGCCAGCTAAAAAATGGGAAGGGGAGGGTGTCAGGAGGAGTGGTGCCGTGGTGCCAAGGGTTCTGATTCTCCAAGCGGTTCTTCACAACATGCGCCCCATGCCCCGTCGCCCCGTCCAGGAACCAGGGAGAGTGCCCTTCAAAGGAACAGAGGGAGGACTGCGCGAATCGATTCAATCGAATGGCGCCAATCGTCACTACGCCCGAGACCTATTCAGTCTCCGCGCTCTATCCCCATTTTTCTTGCCCAGACGTGCGATCGACAATGGACGCCATCAACAGCAAAGGAGGCAACGCTGGAGGCGGCTGGGACGTTGACAGCATTACGACAGAAGACGCCGAGATGCTCGCAGAGCTATTTTCGAAGTCTGATGACGAGACTTGCATGATAAAAGATCATGACGTAGTTCTCAAGATAGTATCCTGCCCTACCAAGGGCACGAGGATTTGGAAAGAAAAGGTGCGCTTCTTGTTAGGGACAAGAAAGTTGAGCCGTGAGGACATTGAGGCACTTAGTGCCATGCAAAATTCTTTCTACCGCCACCTGTTCTGCTGCAGCAAAAGGTACAATGATCCTGCTGACGTTGGCTCTACAAATGTAAGTTTTTGGGTGAGCCTGAAGCTGGTCAAGGAGAAGAAGCAGATCGAATGGGTCCTTGATATGGACGACGTCCGCCATATCAAGATTGGAAAAGAGCTCGTCCCCGTTGTGCCTGCCAGTGATGACTGCATCAGAGACGAAATCTTTCTCAGCAAGGGGATATCGACACTGGAAAGAAATGCCAAAATTAAGTGCAAGAAGAAACAAAGGAGGCAGGCGGCAGCTCTGACCCCATCTGTCTCCCAACAAGGAACTGAGCGAGGGGCTCCAACAAAGCCCGCAGCACCGCCAATTGGCGAAGCAAATGATGCAAAGTGTAGCAAGTTTGCAAGTGCTCTTGGTAGTTCCATTCGGGATGACGTGAATGCTGCAGCTGCGTGAGAGCAACCTCTTAGAAAACTTGGTCACTCTGTAAAAGTAGATCATGGATTGCTTTCTGCCTGTGTTACCTTTGCTGAATTGCTTGAGGGCTGGCTCGTAAATCACGTTGGGGCATGGAGTGGCGGCACGTAAAGTGCCAACAACGGCGAATTCCATGGGGTTGTGTAAACTGCAACCAACCTGCAGTCAGGACGAGATACTTGCCGACAATCTGACTAGCAGCAAGCAGCACGGCCGCCCGTGAAGACTCTGGCTGGATGACACAATCCAGCAACTGCAATACACACCGGTACCCATTGGAAGTTACGTACAACCAGACAGGCATATTTGATACCCAAGATTTGCGCTGTTGCATCTCCCCCCAGTTGGGCATTCTTTTCGCAGTGTAGGTTGGTACCAGTACAGCCGGTATAGTACGTAAAGCTTTAGTTTCGGTAAAATACAACTTCAAGCTACTCCAGAGTAGTTGGGTTTGGAGTTGCTGGTAGCTACCGGCACAATTCCCAGGCGTTTCTCATCTCCTTGCAACTTGATCTTGCAATGCCTTTTCCATTCGATCCAGCCAAGTTTCACGCCACACTTTTCACGCAGGTTCCAGTCTGTTTCCTTTTTGGCTCCTTCACTCAGATTTTGTGCTCGGTTCAGCAAGTCCAGGTAGATTTCAATCTCACCCTCCAACACAAAGCATAGCTTCCTGTAGGCCTCTTGGGTAATCGGTGAGGGATGGTACTTTTCACTTCCGTGAGACACTGCCTTGGTGTTATTAAAGGTAGTGTTTCCGCCCAAGTAGTTGTTGGCAAGATGTTGGATGTCTTCCCATTGGTTTTCCGTGCGAATGGCCAATACTTCCTTGCCGGGAAAGGCATATGCAGTACTGCTTGCATAGTATCTATAGTTAAATTCCAGATGAAAGGAATCGGTTTTGAAGGTGCCGTCTGCAGCGCCACGGGCCTTTTTGCGACAATCCATTTGCTCACGTCGGGATTTGGTGGCCAAGGATGATGGAACGGTTGTGTTGGGATGTGTTGGATCTGCCTTCCATGGCGACATGACACTTTGTGCAAACTCCTCGGCGGCTGCATATGGAAAGCAGAATTTGAAGAAGACCCCAGTTGGCCCTTTTGGCCTTTTCTTTAGGCGGTCTCCCAGAGAACAGCCATGCGGCAATGGACTTTCCTTGTAGACACTCCGATCATCGTAGCAATTGGCCGGATGTGCGTACCGGTATGCGGACAACACTCTATCCACAGGGCTGCGGAGCACGAAGAGGAAGGAAGTGGATTTCCGGAAATACGATTGTCGGTACGACCACATGTGAAAGTAGTACTGAGTTTGACGTCCCAACAGATCTCGTTTGTTGGGATGTTTCTTGTCAATGCATCGGCGAATCTCATTTGGGGTTTGGCCGTGATCCAATGGTAAACGGCATATCAAACTGAGCTTGTCCCGCAAGCTCATGCCTCCAGCCTTGCCAACTTGATGGACACAAGAAAGAGACACATGAGGTTGATCTGGTAAGCAATTTGGTGGGTTTATGCTTCCAAGCCATAGTTTCGGTCCCACTTACCATGAACAAAGGTTATGATTCGTTCCTTTATTGTGGGTATCTTTTGAACCACAATCTGGCTGTCTTTCGGGATGACGTTATCTCCTTGTGGTTTTTCGTCGATCGCCTCTCGTTTGCCGGGGCGTTCTCCTTGTTGCTGTTGCTTCTGGCCACGATTTTCATGTGTGCTTTGCTTCATAGCCTCATTTTGCTTGTTTTGCTTCATATCTACTTGTTGCATGTTCTGATCACCTTGTCTTTCATACTTGTTCTTATGTTGCCTTTTTGAACTGTTCCGTAACTTCGACTGTGACTCGTCTTCCTTGTTTCCTTTGAGCTTCTCCGGAGCCTTCATATCCTGCTGTTGCCCCCGCTTCATTTGTTTTACCAGCTCAGTTATAGTCTCTTGCTTTCGGCTCTGCTCTCCTTCCCTTCGCAGTTCGTCCTCCTCATAGCCTGTCTCATGGCTGTTGTGAATGGCATTGTTCTCTTTTGACCTCTGCTCTGCCGAGTCATTGGAACCAGACAATTGTTGACTCAGTGGAACAGCAGACGTCCGCACCCTTGTTGTTGAGCCTTTGGGTTGCTGTTTGTTTTTCCTGTCATGGCGTTGTTGCGCTGCTTTAACCTTTGCTTCTGCGTACAGCTTTCTTTGCTTTGCATTCTTTGACAGCATTTGATGTTTTGCCTCGTCGCCGGAAATAATTGGAGGTTGTTGTGGATCCGCGACGACAAAAACAGAATTGTCAAGAACAGTCAATGATCTCTCTCTGATAGTGGAAGGCGAGGACTGGAACATTGCATGAAAGGATATAAAGGCGAAAACCCAAACTCCAACTCGCAGCAGATGAACTGAGGACCTCTTTCCGACCAATGGCGAGTGGCTTGGCCTGGCTGCCAATGCGGTCAGACCATCATGGTACCGGTAGTTTCTGCAAGATTTGTGGACATTCTCTTGATGGTGCATCTCTGTGAAGCCGAGGAATAAATGCACAATGTCATTTCCGTCACTACCGGATCTGAAGCAAACGGAGGTTTTGTTGCCAGGTGCCTATGAAAGATATATAATCTGTTCCGAAATGTAACCCAAGCCCTAATGTTCCAGGATTTACAGACGCACAATTGCCTTTTCAAAGAACCTCGTTCGGTTGCTACAGAAGTGCGTGGGGCCCAAACAAATGCATTGGCTTGGGTTGACAGAACTAAGCTTTGCTACGGGTACTAGTACCGGTACCGGTAGGCAGCCCTGAGGCTGACCATCAGCCAGCGGAATCAATCAAGATCCAACTTTCAAAGTCAATACTAGTATTCGGAACTACCAAATGGTTGATTTGAAACAACTTTTTACTTATGTATTGAAGCATGCATTTTGAAACATTTTTTGTGAAGAAGGTGCAAGAGGGCAGAGAATAATGCATTCGGTCTTGGGAAAGACTGAGGAGGGACAATCGACTCAGAAGGTATCCAGTTGCGCAACTTGTTTCCCTCTCCCGAGCAATCTCCTGTTGCTTGCATCATGGCACCAACAAGAGGCGGTGGCTTTGTTGGCTTCCTGAAGAGTGGTATCAAGCCTACTACCGCACACGTGAGGATGGCAGCTGGCAATTTCGTCGAGACCTATCGTTGTCCCAAGGCAGTCTCTCTGGGTACTTTCGCGAATCCATGGCCGAAACCATCAACACCATTCCTCCAAGCATTGTGGCCGCGACAGTTGCGAGATTCAGGATGGCTGGACTACTATGATTTGATGCTCGCGCAGACTTTGGTTGTGTGGGCAGGATTTCCGTCGCGGCTCTCTTAGCGCCCTTGCGTCCCAGCGTCAAGCGAAGTGGCGAAATCGGCAGGAAGTGAATGTAGAACATTATTGCTCCGAGTGGCTACAACACAACAATGGGGGTCTCACGGGTGGGAGGAGTGCAACCTGTAGCGAATTCGTACGTCCTCGTTGTTGGGTGTCGGTGAGCATTTTGAGTGGCAACGGCTGTGGCAACAGATACTATGCCTACTTTGCAAGGTGGATCTGGCTTGGTGAGGATGCGTTGATTGTTCGATTGACTGATTGATTGAATTCAAGGATGCAGCTATGATTCATCGTTCGATTCATCATTCGCTTCGTACATCGCGAACCGGTTGCAGCGAACATTGGCTTCCCCTTCTTGTGAGAGCTTTGTGATACCTGGTACTACATGTAGTAGTGTCGAGGTGTTGACACCGTTGGTCAACTGAGTAAGTCGAGATTACTCAGGTACTGTACCTGGTGTGTACATGATTCGATCAATAATTCATTGGTTGAACTTCGGATGGTGCGGTACGGCGGAATACATAACGTTCTACCAAAGCCAGCTTCTTCAGCGTTTTCAGAGTGACTGTGACTGAGACTCCAGTCAGTTCATGTTCCATGCGAACTGCGAGCTGCGAGCCACCTCGAGCCACCTCTGACATCAAAAGGCAGCAGAAGGTTCTCGCTGCCTTCTTGCTGCCGTACGGTACTATGTACCTTTGTGAATTGAGTTGCGAGGTTGCGACTGCTTCTCAATTCCTTGATCGTTGGGGAGGATTCCCTTGTTCTCGCGTTCAAGATTCCAGTTTGGAAGTGGTCTCAGTCTGGCTGAGGTTCGGAATACTTCAGTGGGTTCTCTTTCGGGTCGTATCTGCCAAAAGCACAAGATAAAGTACTAGCTAGTACTGATGAGTATGCCACAAAAACAACACTGGAGCCATGGATACAACTGCAAAGACTCAAAGCTCGAAGGAGGATTCATCTGATGGTACCCCGGCCGTAGCCGCAAGGGCGACCACCATTCTCACCGGAGAGCAAAGTGATTTCACGTCGGCAACATGGACGGAAGATTCACAGCACCAAGATGATCAAGAAGCGTCCATTCCGGCTGAAATCAAAACCACGAAAGGAACTGAGCCCGATCTAGAGAATCCCACACCCAAGGGGAAACAAACAACAAACTTGGTTCTTGAGCGCCGTGCTAAGCTTTTCCAGGGCTGCCGCACATTTTCTGTGCACAAGAACGGAGAAAAGGTTGGAACGCTGTGCAACGGAGGAACCAGAGTCGTCCGGGACGTCGCCAAGGGCGACTGCGTTGAGATTTCCTACGAAGGATCACACAGGGCATCTTATAACACTCTGGTGTTGGTTGTCAACAGCACCAGTAGACCCTTGAGTTGTCGTCTCAAAAAGACCGGGGATGTCTCCTTTTACTTGGTCCTCGTGGGAGCTCTGATTTTCATGGCGTCCGTGCTTGCTGGATACACCTATGGAATGCTGGCGCTTCCGGTATCACTTCTCTTGGCCAGTTCTAGCCTCTACAAGTATTGTCGGGACAGTGAGTTTCGAAAGGAAATTGTCCCCTGCAACTCCAACAATCGTGATATTGAAGAATACAGTTTGCTGCTGGTCGAGCATCGGCCAGCACAGACTCGCAGTGTCGCTCCTCTGGGATGAGCCAACCTGGCCTTACACGTCCATTTGTACACATCCATACTGTAGTTGATCGATCTTCTAAAATAGCTCGCCACTGGTATCATCTCGATCGTTCTCCAGCATTCGGACGAGTGATGAAATACTGTGTGCGGGGTTGGTTCGGCCACGTTGAGAGCACAGTTCACCACTGTTGAACAGCGTTGACCCAGCGAAACCGTGGGACGTATTCAGGCAGTCCGGTGTTTCCAAAGACCAATGCGTTTGGCTCACAATCTGAACAACGTAGACACACACTCCCACTGTTTTGCGAAAGCTCCTGATCTCTACCATGACAAAGAAAGACTCCTCCGGTAATCTTGGCGTCAAGCTTGCATGGTTTGCGGCAGCCGTATCAGCGTTAGTGGCGCCTCTAGCCGGCGTCTTGGTTGCGCTCCCTTCCACATGGGCTCCAGGGACAGTTGGCGGCCTCCTGGGTGAAGAAATGCTGGACACGCACCAGAAAGCAAAGGACTATGCGGACCGTTCCATCCAGGAAGCCCTTCAAATATGGGCAGAGTCAACCACCAACTGGCAAGTAATGCTGGACATGAACGAGCCCCACAACAACATGACCCTGGAAGCACGGCGGATCACCGAGGGCCCCTTTTCCAAGTCAGGTGTCTTGTTGACGCGTCAAGTGGGCCGGGTTCCTGGTGTTTCTGCTCAGGATCTCTACGACTTTTTGATTTCCCCCGAGGGCTTTGCTGTCATTGATCCAATGTCCGATCCAGTGGACTTTGACAAGTACATTGAACGTATCCCCAATTGGCGTCGAGGTGGCAGGTTGGAAGTTGGAGAATCTTACGTTCCATCCTCATCCTTCAGCAACGAACTTTTATTTGTGGTGTTGAACACTTTTCTACCTGCAGAACGGCTCTTTGTCTCCAAGTCAATCTTGCATCCTTCCCGACCAGGGCACAGCATCTTTTATGATGGCGACCGAGTCGCTGCCGGGGAGAATGGAAACCGTACTCGAGTCATCAACACATATGCCTTGCAAGTCTCTGACAGTGCTGATGGGGTTGCCGAAGTCAAGATCATCGGATACATTGATGGGTTTCCCGCATGGGATTTCCTCATAAACTATCTGACTTGCAAGATTGGCCCATCCGAGTTCTTTCCTCGGCTGCATGCTGCGCTAGAAGCACGGCGAACAGCAGACCTAGATGTGATGTAGGACATCCTTAAAGACCAATATTTATTTAAGTTTTAGGCAGCTGTCACAATCATGTGTCGCGGTACCGCATCCTGCAGGATCACATATTGGACAAGCATTGTTGGCAAACCGTGCCTGTCGATACGGGTAACGCCAGCCTCAACTCGAACTTCATTCATAGATGATTCTATGGCTGGCTAGTTAGTCGGGCTCATGTATGTAGATATTAGGATTCCTGGCCAGCAACATGCAGTTGTAGTTAACTTTTTCGTTTCCGTTTATCATCTGGGGCATGAAAGTTTTCTCGATCGTAAAAGCACCGCAACAACCTAATGGCTTGATCCTTGAGGACGCCTTCCACAACCGGAAATGGTTTGTCTGTAGTTCCATCATCATCATTTTCATCCGGAGTGGTACCGGTAGTGTTATTGGTAGTACTATTGGTTGCCGCGTGCAAGGAAAGAATGGACCCACATCCTCCAAATCGATCATTGTGACACCCAAAAATCACCTTTCCAATTCCAACGGTGGCCAAGGCTGCACTGCACATGATGCAAGGTTCACAGGTCACGTAGAGATGGCATTGGGAGAGAATGGAAATGGGATAAACTTGACCAGATCCCCAACCGTCATCCATGGCATCCTTTTCTTCCTGCAGAGCCTTTTGTTGTTCTGGGGTGGTGGCGGATTGTGCCATAATGTAGGGAGGGAGCCGCAATTGATCCGAGGAGACCCCCAATGTCAACATGCGATCCACGGCCACAATTTCGGCATGACGACTGGCATCTCGGGTGGCATTGACTTGATTGGCCCCATGCGACACAATGGTTCCTCTAGTAGTGTCATTTGGCAAGACAATGACACATCCCACCGGAACTTCACCAATGGCCAAGGCTGCTTTGGCCACCTTTAATGCTTGTCGCATAAAGTAGATATCGTCATTGTTTTCCTCATTCAATTTGTTGCCTTTCAAGTTGGAGCTATCATCCATCTTGGAAGTAGAGGTATCATTATTATTGTTTGCCATCGGTTCCTCTGTTGGTTCTTCTTGTGGTTCAGTGTGGGGCTGAGACGCCCAGATTAAAAAGATCCGTGGACAGTGGGGCTTTAGGGTTGAGGTTGCATCTTCTAAAGAGACACCTCGCATCTCGGGGCGAGAGAAGGCATGACATACCAGGGTTACTCCGCATTTTGTCTATTTAAGGCTATTGTATCTGATTACAGAGTTGCCTAAATGTTCTATGCTCCTTTGTAAAAGTGGCTTATGTCTCACAATGTCTCACAATGTCTCACAATGTCTACCAATATTTCACAATGTCTCACAATGTCTACCAATGTCTCACTTTGTCTACACAGTACAGTAAAACAGTACAAAAATGTCTCACTTTGTCTACCAATGTCTCACAATGTCTCACAATGTCTCACAATGTCTCACTTTGTCTACCAATGTATCACTTTGTCTACTAATGTCTCCTAATGTCGCACAATGTCTACTTTGTCTACTTATGTCTACTAACTGTGTGTAGACATTTACACTTAATCGCCAAAACACTTTCCCAAACAGACAAAATGCCGAGTAACCCAGGTACTGGACCGTCCGACGGTTTTCACTCAGGATTTAAAAGCTTCCACCACTGATTAAAAACTTGATCACCACAATTAACGGATTGTTTCTTAAGGTATTGTTTAAGGGATAGTAAACGATTTAAAGGCTTGTTGTTAAAAGGGATTGTGTATTTATGGGATTGTTTAGGGGATAGTTGAAGAAATAGGGGATAGTTCTTTGGTGTTTCCATTTGGCGTTAAGGGATTGTTTAAGGGATAGTCCAAGATTTAAAGGATTGTTTTAAGGGATTGTTTCTTTAAGGGATTGTTTAAGGGATAGTTGATGAGTTAAGGGATTGTTTAAGGGATTGTTTTAATCGGTCATCAGTCGTGGCAATTTCAAGTTTTTAAAATCCTGTGTGAAAACCGTCGGACGGTCCTGTACACTGTACCAGGTACATGTAGCCAATATCGTTGCTACTAGCCCTTCCGTTCCTCACCGAAATGTTATCTCCAATACCTTGAATCGTGTCCGTCAACTGCTAAAATTATAATTCTGAACGAGGAACTCTCCCTTTCTAGGATGAGCTCAATACTGTCGAGCAGTGAGGCACCCTTTAGAAGATGTGCTATTGGCAAGCGGCAAAGGAGTAAATCATGTTCGTAGAGTCTATTTCGTACGGTTGACTCTTCTTGTTGACAGTAAATCAACCATAACTAGTTCATTTGTTCATCCATTGATTGTACATGATCTACAATTATTTTTGCTAGTATTCTTTGCCACTTTTGTATGGGTTGTGCTGTACAAGATCATTGGAGTTTTGATGCAGTCTCTTCCTGTTCATACAGTTTCCAAATTCCGTTCTACTTCTTGGGTGGTTCACAGTTTTGTCTGCTGGGTGGCTGATTGTGTGCATCATATTGTGTCCTCTCATTCATTCAGTCTGCCATCCCATTGTTGGAAAGCGCTCATTAAGCATGGAACTGATTTGACTGGCAGTCTCTTCAACAGCACGACCAGTGACTATAGATTGTGGCGCAACAATTGTGAGAAATTCTCTTGCAAGCATGCATCGAACAGTAATAAAACCATTGGATATGATGTACAAGGTTGTCCATGCAAGTTAAACGTACCATCAATTTCAGTAAACCCATGTTCATCTGCCAGTCTCCTTGCTTTGGCTAGATCTTTCTTGAGATAGCCCCAGTCGGCATATGTTGATTCTCCACCAGGAATATTGTCAAGTTGTCTTTCCAATCTTGTTTCTCTTATTCGCTGCAAATCAATAGGATTGAGTGTCAAGCAAAATACTTTTTTCGGATCAACATCAAAAAGTTGTTTGGGTGGATCTAATTCGAGCACCAAAGGGATGTTGGACACTTTGAGTGCCTGTGACTGAGACAAGAACACTGACAGGGGTGTCTTTCCTGTTCGACTGACTCCAACCAAGACAATATCAGCTTCTGGTAATAACCACGGTGCCATGCCATCATCAGCTTTCAAGGTAAATTCAATGGCATCGACTTGGCTATAATAGAGCTCTGTCAATTCTCGACGGGCTGGGGTGCGAGTGCCAGGACCCGCCATGCCAATGGGTTCTCGTTGAAAAAATTCTGTCATGAGATCAAACATGGGTCCCAACAGGTCAACATGGGACAGACCTGCCTCTTCACACAAATCCACTACCAATTGTCGCATTTTGGGATCGGCAAAGGTAGACACAACCATAGAATTGCGTTCCGCAGCTCGTTCGATAATGGGAGCGACTTCTTCTGGTTTGCGAATGAAGGGATACAAATGTTTTTGGGTCAATTCACATGGATCTTCGTCGTCAAATGCCGTGTATCGTTCGTCGCAGCCATTGAACTGTGTCAGTGATTTCTCCACAGCACTCTTGGCTGTCACGCCTGTAGTGTCACTCAGAATGACAATGCTCTGACCACGAGGACGTTGTCGAGTTGATCCCAGCGGCCCCAAAATGGATTTAATCATTTCTTCATCATCTTCGCTACTAGCACCATCCGGCTTGACATAGAAACTCATGTGAAGACAGGTGGATGTTGTGCGAAATTGCTTTGGTTGAAGGGATGGCTCGTTAGAAGCAGATGGTAGAAAACTGGCCGCTCTGCCAGGCAGAACCATGATTGTAAAGAAGCTTATCAGTAACCGTCTCATGCTGTTGTTTGGATGGAAGTGGCTATTGACGATAATGAGGTGGGTTCTATGGGGTTTTAGAAGAGGCGCTGATGGATTTTTGGCATCCAGCCAAGTCCCTCTTCTCCTTGACGGTTGACGACGGTACCGGTACGGTAACTGTAGGGTTGGAGATACGAACCGTCAGGTCGGATGGAAGTCTGGAAGAGCACCCCACCGAAAGATATGCTGGGAGCCAAGACCCTTCTTCGAACATCAACATAACCTGAAGCGGCAGCAAGTATTGAGGTGGGTCCTCTACGCTGCAACTGTGGGTTGTTCTCATAATCTTGTTTTAGCGGTTGTTGATTGATAGTACAAAAAAATGTCTCCAGCGGCAACTGTTTCGAACGACGTCGATGGCGACGGCAACAAGAAGGCCAAGATCCACAAAGTGGTCCCACACGAAGAATGGGTCCAAGCGCGCAAGGAACTCTTGGAGGCTGAAAAAGAGTTCTCCAAGAAGAAGGCAGAGCTAGCCCAGAAACGTCGTGACATGCCATGGGAAGAAGTCAAGGAAGACTACGAGTTTGAAATGACTGGAGGCAAGGTTGTCAAGTTGTCGGAGCTCTGTCAAGGCGAAGATGGCACCGTGATCATTCAGCATTTCATGTTCAAGGGTGGTGACAATGGATGCCATCTCTGCAGCTTCTTCTTGGATGGCTTCAATAGCATCTATCCCCATCTCAAGCCGCGCGCCAACTTTTGCGCCGTTGCCCTGGCATCTCCCGAAGATCTCGAGAAAGTCGGTAAGAAGAAGGGATGGAACTTTCAAATGGTATCGGCTCGCAAAAACACCTTTCAAAAGGACTATGGTGTTAACTGGGGGCAAGATGACGTAGATAGCGGCTCAGCCCTTTACAACTACGGAAAGCAGCAGTGGAAGTTTGGGACCATGGCTCCTGGAATTTCCGTGTTCAAAAAGGCCGACGGCAAGGTTTACCATACCTACAGTACCTACGCCGCTGGATTGGCCGATTTGAACGCTACCTTTGCTCTCTTGGATATCACTCCCACCGGCCGCAGCGAGACCGGTGGATCGAACAACATGTGGTGGGTGAAGCAGAAAGAGAACTATTGAGTCGAGTATCTTGACCCATAAGGAGATCAAGTACATGCAGCGAAATTGACCTCGTCATTGAGCTTTTGCCATTATTTGGTCTTTCACATTAACCACTCTAAAGTGAGTCCTCATTACATTATCTACCTGTGTCCCCAGAAGTTAGCGAAGGAGCCAAGGCCTTCAGAGCATGTAGCGGGCGATTCCGAAAGTTCTGCAATGGCCTTTTTTTAATGTGAAATGAGGCCAGCGATTGAATTCTAGTAGCTAGAACACACCGTCAGCTGGGAGAGGTGAGTTGCCCAAGTCGAGGTAGGAAATCTATGGGCCACGAAAACTGAATGGCCCTTCATACCGCTACTTTTGGGAGCATAATTCCTCCCTCCCAGAACAGCAACTGCCGATCTTTATTTGGCTGCCAGCAGAGTGGTGACACATTTCAACCTTCTCGCCAGCCGAAGTGCTGTGGGGTGTGGCTGGGGATGTTGCTTGCAAACTAAAGGTATCAGTGGCGAAGCTCTGGAGACGGTGGACGAGAGATATTGTAAAGGGAGCTGCACCTGAGACCAGTAGCCATAAACGTCGGACAAAGTGGGTGGTGACTTGGCTTTGCTTCTGCAAGGATTTAAAACCGGAACGTACACGCATTGCGCTTTGCGAGGACCAGTTTACTATCTAACAAGCTACTGGTACCGGTACCGGTACCAGGTAACAGGATGTCCATGTCTTCTAAAGGCCCTAGCTGCCGGTACCGGTACATGTAGCTAGTCATAGACAAGCTTGAGAGCTGCAAGTTATTGTCTGCAGTCTGCACTAGCTAGTAGCATACCTTTACGGTCCATCGTTTATTAAATCTTCTGCTTTGGACGGATGATCTCTATCCACAGCTTTGCTTGTAGGCTGGCCAGGCAGCACAGGAGTAGCCGCCGGTATCTAGCTGCATCTCCTGTAAAAGTAAAAGTAAATTTTCAAATTTTCATGCAACACCACAAGCCTCTTTTTCACTGACAAATGACAAATTACTGCTCTAGCTAGAGCTGGAGTGCAAAATCTACCATTACTCAATTGAAATTGTGGAAATAATTGGAAATAGATAAGCGTGTGAAAGCAGTCTTCCAACCCTCCTCGGACAAAACCTCAGGGATACGAATGCCGAGGACACATCTGTAAAACGAAAGTCTGGCTAACAGGCTAACAAGACTTAGTGGTCCATTGTCTTCTTTCATTTGATATATCTAAAAGAGAAGCTTTTTGGGTTGCCGAGAACATCAGGGATTTAGAAGAGGCACTGCCACTTTTGCCAAAGAGGTGGAAAAAGCTCCCGCGTTAAATCTAGGCAGTCTTTTGTGTGGCCACGTCATCTTTGATCTTTGATTGATAATGACATTGTTGTCAGAAGAGCCCAAGGCAACCACCGGTACCTGCAAGCTTACCGTACTCCCTCTTGTGATCCACCTCCTCGCTTTCTCCCACAAACACACTATACATATAAAACACAAGCAGTCTACTACAGTACGGTACCTGGTAGGTGTTTCGTCGGCGAGAGCTGCATACGATGGGAGTTGAAAGCGACGAAAAGAGCGTTGACGCTGGCGCTGTGAAGATGGCGCCGTCGACGCACAATACCAGTATTGCTGGAGGCACCCATGTGACCACCAATGAACCCAAAATGAGAACCGCCAAGTCCGAAGTCGGCATTAAAAGCAGCGTCAATACGAACGACTCTGCTGCTGCCATGGTTGGTATACACTACGAAGGAGTGGTGGAAGATCTTCAACGTCGAGGACTGCACAGATATGCAGATGCGCTGTTGGCGTTGTCGGAGCATCTTCAGGAGCAAGAAGAACATGCGGAGAGTACCGTTGCCAGCAAGAATAGTATGGCCCCGAGTGCCCAGTGCAAGGAAGACAGCATACATCCGGATAAAGTCCTGAGCGTCTCGAAACTTGGCGCAAAGAGCGGCAAGCCTGGCGCAGCGCAAAATGGTTCCTTGGTGGAACGGTCCAGGATCATTGCGACACTCTTGGATCTGCCAGACGATATAACCAGCATTACGGCTGTGGTGGAAGAAGGGAGTGATCAGAGTGGAATCTTTGGTTCCAATCTTCCTCGACCAACACAAGATGTAGCTGGCTCATCCAATTCGGCACCACCCCTCAACTTTACGCAGAGTTCCTTCATCCAATTACCCTCGGCCAATCCTGGAGCCTTCAATGTTGTACCCAGCAGCGCTAATCCAATGCAAGAAGTGAGTGGAAGTATCACCATTGGAGGAAGTGTCACTGTCGGAACCAAGGGTGAACCATCAAGTATCCAACTGCCGCCAACAGAGGAAACCACCTTGGAAGCTGTCCGCGTCGATGATATTCTTACTGTCCATGCCGATCCGATGGATGGAAAGGAAGACAGGAATATAAATCAGAAGAAGGTGCTCAAGGCTTGGTTGGGCAGTGGCTTTTGCTTCTTGGTTGGGGTTATGTTGTTGATTATTGCCTTGACCACCACAAAGAACAAGAATAACGAGACCATGACTCCTGTCCCCGCCGTAACACCAAGTCCCACCTTTGCTCCAGATGACCGTTTTGACTTGCTACGAGACTTCTTTGTCAGTGCATTGGCCCCATATTATAGCCAAGGTGATGACACTGGCGACATGACTAACGGCACAGACTTGGTCCAACTTGTGTTTCATCACGAGGACTCTCCTCGGTACAAGGCACTCGAATGGATGGCCTGGAATGACACCGAGATTGAGACAGCCATCCCATTGGACTACATCACCTTTATGGACCTGCCGGCAGGCCACAATAATCATGATACCAAGCTGCCAGATGAATCCCAGCAGCGTCTCCTCCAACGCTTTGCCCTGGCGGCCTTCTACTTTGCCACTGGTGGTCCCACAGCATGGAGTGAGCAGTATGAGTTTTTGGCACCTGGACATGAATGTGACTGGTCCGGGGCACTACAGTGCTCCGAAGTTGTGCCAGAAGATGATGATGCTTTCACCCTGGAGAGCAATGGTGGACGCAACCAATCATTCTCTGTGATTACTGGCATTGATTTGAAGGAAAATGGTCTCACAGGTTCTCTAACCCAGGACCTAGGTGCGCTCTCTCATCTTAAATCGATCAATCTGTTTGGCAATGCCTTGACAGGCACATTTCCAGCTTCACTGGCCCATCTTACAGCCTTGACAGACCTAACAGTGGCCAACAATCGCATGGACGGGACCATCCCTGAAACCTGCCTTGCCAGCTGGATGGAAATGCAGTCACTAAAGCTTGGTGACAATTCCTTTTCTGGAACACTACCGTCGGAGATTGGCTTGATGGTGAACCTTGTTGCGTTTGGAGCAGAGAGATTGTCATGGCAAGGAACGGTTCCAAAAGGTACGCCTGATGAGTGACCCTCTTACTATGCGATGCAGTGTTTATGTCAATGGTTACTCAAAACTGTGCCCCTGACATCATGTGCCTGCCATTTTTGATGCAAACAGAGCTTTTCCAAAAGTTGACAAACTTGGAATTCTTGGAAATGTCCAACATGGTATATGGCTTTGTCAATGATACCCTCCCAACCCATATTGGCTTGTGGACAAACCTGAAATCCCTCATAATGCATGGTTCAAATCTAGTCGGAAGCATTCCAATCGAAATTGGATTGGTCTCAAATCTGAAGCGGCTTCAATTGGCATCCAACCACATGACAGGGCCACTACCAAGTGAGCTTGGACTTCTGACAGCCATGACACGGCTTCAGCTGTCTGTGAACGGTCTCACTGGCACAGTCCCCACCTCATTTGTCAACTTTGAAAGTGTGAAACGATTGGAACTGCAGAACACACTGTTGACAGGAGATGTGAGCTTCCTATGTAATGCCATTGAGGCTGGTAACATGACCGCCATTGACAACTTCAGGATGGATATGGCCGAGGTGTCAGGTTGCTCCTGCTGCAGTTGTTGTGAGTATTGAGACAAACAGCCAGACACAAAAGGTTGTCGTACCGCTTGTTTTCAGTCTGTGCATTGATACGAATTTCAAATGCTTGGGTCCACTTTAAATCACGCTGTAGTGTCGCAGAGAACCGAGCGTCGCCTACATGACGAATTGACCGATCCAACAAAAAGACAAGCCGAAAGGAACGGTGGCACAAGTAGCGCATAGCTACTGTTGATCTTGCGGAACAAGGATCGCTTAGCCCTGTGCACTGGAAAGTGGGCCGCGCAAAGCAGGGCGACTATGCGTAACGAAATGAATCTTCATTCAAACTTAGCTACGTAATGCGGCCACCGGTCCTTTGCAGAATCTATGGCCGACTGGTCTACATACCGTACACGAGATCTGGGTGCAGAGTTGTCGTCGTTGGGCTTGCTGGATCAAATAAATCCAATGCATTCTAAAACGCTCTTCCAAACAAGGCCATGTGTGTAGCATCTTCACCACTGAAGAAACACTTTTTGCCTTCGTGTAACCCTTCACTGTTTTCTTTCAACGGGTAGCAGCGAATTGTTGCCTTGCATTCCTCTTTGATTTTGTCCTCATTGGCAGCATCGCACTTCCATGGAACCAAGAAGAGTCCCTGTCCAGGATACTGGGTGGCTTCATCCGCTTCCAGCAAGGACTTCATTTCGTCATAGGTGGCATCCGTTCGGATACCGTCTGCCAAACGATCCTGGGCCGCTGCCAGGAGACTGGCTTGCATCGCATCCAAGCCGGCAACGGCACTGTCGGCGGCTTGTGCCAGATCCACCGATTGTTTCCCATCCGACCCGTCACCCGCTCGGTATTTGAAAATGCACACATTCTGTTTCACATCCCGTGGTCCAAGTTCTATACGAAGTGGTACACCCTTGCGCTCCCATTCAAAGTATTTGGCACCGTTTCGCACGTAATCTCTGTCATCGACTTTGACTCGAAGTCCCGCACTCTTCAAATCACTCACCAGCTTGTCCAATGCCACCTCCATACTTTCCTTGGCTTCTTGATTATTCTTTTTGGGTGGAATTGGCACAATCACGACTTGCGTCGGCGCCACACGAGGCGGCAGCACCAACCCATCATCATCCGAGTGCGACATGATCAAGGCACCAATCAATCTCGTGGAAACACCCCAGGATGTTCCATAAACATCCTGGAGTTGCCCTTCGGCATCCTGAAAGGTAACATCAAATGCTTTACCGAAACTCTGCCCGAGATAATGCGACGTTCCCGATTGCAGTGCCCATCCATTTTGCATGAGAGCTTCAATGGTGTAGGTTTCTTCGGCACCGGCAAATCGTTCCGACGGACTCTTGACACCTCGTACGACGGGCATGGCCAACAATTGCTCACAGAGCGTGGCATAGTTTTCCATCATGGTACGGGCATCGTCATCGGCACTTTCGGCTGTCGCATGGGCCGTGTGTCCTTCTTGCCATAGGAATTCCGACGTTCGTAGAAACGGTCGTGTGCGCATTTCCCATCGCATCACGTTGGCCCATTGATTGACTTTGAGTGGTAAGTCACTGAAATAATAGTAATAAGTAATAGTAATTGTTTTGGAGGACACGATCAAGGAGCAACAACGCGTTAGAATAATGATTCATCCATGCATTATCGTTTTGTTGTGGTTTTGTTTTGTTTTTGACTTTTTGTTTACTACAATGTACGTACCGATGACTGGTAATCCATTTTCGAAACATGTACCAAATCATAGTTTCCGACGTGGGTCGAATAATGAGTGGATCTTCCAATTTGGCGGTGGGATCGGCAATCAATTCCGTGCCATCTTCCGACGCTGTCAATCGATGATGCGTCACGACGGCACATTCCTTGGCAAATCCATCGACGTGTTCGGCTTCTTTCGATAAAAACGATTTGGGAATGAGGAGTGGAAAATAGGCATTTTCCGCACCATGGTCTTGAATTTTCGCATCCAATTCGTTGCGGACGCGATCCCACAAGGACATGCCCCACGGTTTGATCACCATGCACCCACGCACGGGACTGGTTTCGGCCAATCCGGCGACTCGAATCAGATCATTGTACCATTTGGAATAGTCCGTGGCGCGGGGTGTCACAAAGCCCTTGTCGTCGTCGTCGTCGTTGACTTTTACTGGACTAGGCTTTTGCTGTTTGGTTGCAGCCGTTTTTTGTTTCTTTTTCTTGGGTTCGCCGCCAATGGATGATGGATCTACTAACTTTGCCTTGAGAGCCAAGAGTTCTTGAACCAACGGCGCCACGGCCGATTTTTCGGCACCGTCCGCTTTGAGAGCCCGAATTTCGTCACCCTTGGCTTTGATTTGTTCTTCCAATTCTACTTTTTCCGTTTCGGAAAGATCCGTGGAAGCACTCATCCATCGACGACGGGACCATTTATGATGATTGCAGTTGTGTTTGTGGTAGAAACCAAAATTGGCTGCATTCTTGTAGACAGACCTTCCAATAAGATTGTTGGATGGAACTACATGTACTGAGAAACCAAGCAGTCGAGGAATAACGGTGGCCAGTATCATCCAAGAGAGACACAGGGTGGTAGTAGAAGTACAAGAAGAAGAACGGGTGATGGCCATGGTGGTGTTTTGACAACAGAAAGAAAATGAGAGGAGGTCAACTGATGAGAGGAAGGTGTCGACGCTGACGTACTTTTTTATGTCATTTTATCCTGATCCTTACAGGAGATGCATCTGCTCACAATTTGTTTCCGGCAAACCAAAAATTCGACATTTGTATTTAGCCTGGCAACAACGATCTCACATTTTTTATGATTATTATTCATGTAAGTACCAAGCTAGCTAGCCATTCGCCCAAGCCAACCGCTGATGATGATGATGATGATGATTCCCAGGAAGTCAAACAACTGAACAGCCTGTGTTTCAGGGATTCGATTTGGCAATGTACTTAGATAGTCACTGGTTGCTAACAATCGGAAGATACTAGACGATCTATCAAGATGATACCGTACTGTGTCGGATGAACAGAGGTCCTTCTAATATCACGGCGTGTTACAAGTGAGGATCTGTTCGGCGACCCCAATAAGAAAGATAGACTAGCTAGATAGACTGATGTAGATCCAGGAGACAACAGACTCAAACGGCAGTTGCCAGCTGGTGCTAACCACCATGCACAATTAATTTTGCTTTAGAAGAGCCATTGGCTGACTTCAACTATTCTGCCCGCTCCTCTCCCTCTCAAAGCCACTTCCATTATTTGTCCACTCACTGATGAATGAGCTTCAGGTCACCACCCAAAACAGCAAAGATAGATAGATAGACAGATGGAGGATTATTACATACTCGTGACATGGAGGCGTCAAGCGTTTGCCGCATTGCTGGCCCTCGTCGTAATCTTGACGCTGCTCGAAGGACACATGGAAGCTCAATGGACATCATCACGGCGCAACATGGCAGGGATGAGGATCAAAGAAAAAAAAGATCATCAACAACGACAGTCCGTGCCCCGCATGAGGGGTCCGTCTCGCAATAATATTAATAATGTCTCTGCCGCCGTGGTCCATAAGAAGAAGAATGACACTCGTCCTCTAAAGACAGGATTGAAGAAGCAACCCAATCGCACAGAGTCCTCCAACGAAACCAACTTTGCACTACTCAAGGATGGACCCTTGCCACACAACAGCAGAGCGAGGTCTACGTCGTCGATATTGAAGAAGCAACCCAAACGCACAAGGTCCTTCAAGAACAGAGGGAGGTCGTCGTCGTCGCCTTCGTTCGCATCATTACAGAGCAGTTTCAACAATGCCCTCCAAGCCATGGTCCAGCGAGGTGCCATGAATTCCAACATTTCGTCTCGTGATCAGGTGCTGCAGCATGGCTTTCCGAGACTGTGGGAACCATGCGTGTTGTTGGAACGGCTCCTCGTGGCAAACAACAAAACTTTGGAGGTGGTCGTCCTAGGAGGGTCTGCATCGGCTCGTCCCGCCAGAGACTGCACCGTGGAGCAGGAGATGCCGGCACAATATAGCAATCTGCTGCAGCAGAGGCTTTCTACTATGCATAGTAGTAGTGATGATGATGACACGTTACCAAAGTTCCGAATCATCAACCGGGCTCAGGGTTCCATGAGCTCGACTACGAACGCCCTTCTCATGGATCAGCTCATTGACCCACTCACCACCGACGTTATTGTGTGGGAATTTTACATCAATGGTACGTACAACGTACTTCGTTGTTCTAACTGTCCCCACAGGATACGAATACCGTATCTAGCTAGCTAGTACCGTAGTTAGAATTTGAAAGAACTCTCTCATCATTTGTTTCTTCATGTTGCTGCAGACGAATGCGGCGCTCAAGGGGGTGGACCATCGGAACAAGTACGCAAACTAGAGTTTTGGTTGACCCGCGTCCAAGCGATCTTTGCGCAGGCAGGGAGACCACCGCCACCCATTATTCTCCTGTACTTGTGGCCCAAGGGAGCGGGAAATCGCCTCAAACGAAACGAAACCAACACGTTGAAAAAGGTCGATCCCAAGGGTTCCTTGTTAGTAATCGATGATCATTCGTACTACCGAGGATGGGATATTGCCGTCTTGAATGTGGCGGCAGCCGTGGACACATCCACTGTGCTTGCCAACCCAAGTCTCTTGTTTGATGACGCGCATCATCCGAGTTGTACCGGTGTCAATCTTATAGCGGATATGCTGCAGCACGTATTCGTGACCAACCTCGCAGCTGAACAATGTTCCACCACAACCACCAATGGCAAGATACAACAACAACACAAAAGAGACGGGTACGGTCGTCCTCCACACGTCGGCAACATGGACTCGAGATGGGAGCTACTCTGGACCGATCTGTTTCGGCAAAATGCACGTCTAGGGTCCTTGACTGCATGGGAACCTCGTATTCATCACAATGCCAGCAATCTGCAAGTCGAAAACATGGCAGAGATATACCACTGGCCGAATAAGACACTGGTGGGCAAAGCGAATCCCGGCAGACAAGACCGCAAGTATGCCTTTGTCTTGCCAACTTGCCAAACGCAAGAACCTCTCAACATTACCTTGTTGGAACCGAATCTAAAGTGGCTCGGAATGAGCCTGACTGGCAACCATATTTGGCTCTCTCTGAACCACAACAAACCTGTGAAACTTCCAGAACCAGACACGTCCTGGAACTTTGCCAACGTGTTCATCAATCAGTGGATTCCAGTCCGGCAAGAGGTTGGAGAAGCAGATAAGTACGTGCTTTCACTGTGCAGCTCCGATTCAGAAAGCATTGCCTACTTTCAACACTTGGTAGGAGTATCCATCCCCAATGACAGTGACAGCTTCAGTGGGGTATCATAGGCAATTCCACTAACTAGCCAGCTAGCGATGGTAGAGATCTCTAACAAAGTATGCCAATTATCTACAAGTTTTTCTTGAAGTGACCCTTTGCGTTGGTACTATGAGACCAAATGGCATAGACGTAGACTCCAAAGAGGTCATGTTGGACAACCATTCTAGTGATCAGTTTGCGAAGATCTGTACAGATCCCCGTACCGTACCGGTATGGTACCAGTCGCAATTGAACGCGACTTGCTGTTCGGGTAACCATTCTAGCTGGCTTGAAGCAGGGAAACGACCGATTTGTTGTACTAGTTAAAGGTGGCTTCGCATCACACAAGGCATCGTGCCCTCCCCTCGAGCTCTGTCCCCATCCTCATCTTAGCTCTCTCTAATCCATAGTAACTTCCCATTTGACAAGACAAGCGAGAGGGGGTTACCGGTAGGCGACAACATAATACAGTATGTAATAACCCGACATTCCCAAGTGAAAAAGCGAAATGAAAGAGGACCCTTGGAGCTGCAACAGTTGCACCTATCGGCACGAGTCACCTACAGAACGACAATACCTCAGTTGTGCTCTTTGTAGTGCTCGCAAGAATAATAATGAGCCACAGCGGAAGAAGACATCATCTCATCACAAGTCGAGCCCATCTTCATCATCATCAAGCCACAGCAGCAGTAGTACCCGCCAATACACACCCGATACGAAGAGGAGGAAACGTCAGCTCTTGCTATCCGATGCCTTTCAGCAGCCGCCGAAACCAAACATCCAGGGGACACGGAAGAAATCGCCAACTGCTAATACTACTACATGTATTCTGAATGGACGTAGTAGCGTTGGTGAAGCCACAACGACTCGGAATAAAACTGACAGTACTGAAATCAACGGTGACGACAACAACACAAAGGAACATCCAGTGAAAAGACGAAGTATTCTAGAAGCACTCAAGCCATGTAGTGCTTCTTCCTTTGTGCCTCCGGCACGGTATCGAGATTCACCCAAGGAGGATTGGACTACCATTTCCCTCTCGCAAATTCCAACCCTCTGTCCCATGACGGTGATCCACAATGTGCTGCCCCTCCAAGTGGCCAACAGCCTACTCGCACAGCTGGAGCAAGAATCTTCTTGTTGGAATCGGGGAAATTGGATCATTCACGGCAAAGAACACCAAATACCTCGCACCACAGCAACCTATCAGCTGCTGCAAGACAATGATGACACGCTCCTGATGGACGAGGAATACCTCGACAACAATCCACAACGACCGGTTAGTCCGGAATTACGACAGGCAGCCACCGCTATTGCGCAACGGGTGCAAGAACAGCACTCCCAACCAAAATGGGAACCAACCTTTTGTCTGGCCAATCGGTATGCCACTGGACAAGACTGTGTCGGATGGCACGCCGATCACATTACACCTCTGGGACCGCGACCCATCATTGTCGGCTTGTCCTTGGGTGCCTGTCGTCGCTTTGAGCTGCGACATGCTTCCGCAACAAGTGGTCGCCATGTCAGTGTCCCCCTACCGCACAATTCCATTGCAATCATGTGGAACGATGCGCAAGAATCCTGGCAACATGCCGTTCCGCGGTGCAGCAGTAATAGTCTGATGCAACATGCTACCGTGGGGCATGTCCGCATCTCCTTGACGTTTCGGATGCAACGCCATCTTCCCAATTTGGGCAAATGTCATTGCGGCCGACCGGTCGGATTAAAGGCCAAAGATGGAGCCTACTACTGTTTTTGTCGTCCCTATGGAAAAGACAAGCACCGAACGTGTGGGTTTTGGAAACGATGTGGCTGGGCCGAACAGGAAGCACAACGATTGATTCGTCTGGAATCTTGCCAGAGTGAGGAACAGCTACAAAAATAGGGTGACAAAGAGAAACTACCGGTAGGTAGCTACCTGCTAGTAGGGAGGAGAGAAGTGGCTGGCAAGCAAGAGTCTGGTAGAATCCCAGCGGACGAGACTATGGAGTCATCCGCCTGAGAAGACAAGAACGGCCAAGCTGTGAACAGCAAATGATGGCTTGATTTCTTTGTCTTCCGTCGTAGATAATGGCTTCTCTACCACCTGGCTAACTTCTACTTCTACTCGTAGCTAATAGATAGAGGACTGGATAAGGACGGCTTTGTTGTAGTTTGCGGCCATCTTCCAGGTGTCCAAGCAGCACTCTCCGACAAGGCAATCCATTCTTGACGGCTTATCTTCCAGTTGTCCAAGACTCACTACATGTACAGCGTACGATGTACGGTACTCTCCGATCTGAGACCTCTCTGGGGGGTGCCTCAAATCAATCTTCTCTGTTTGAATATACCCCCAACCACCTGAATACTGTCATGCAAGCAATCGCTAAAAATAGGCACAACGGACACAATGAAGCGGCAGAGAGTGGTTAAGAGTGGGTAAGCGTGGTAAAGAGCGGTCGAGGGTGGTCGAAGGCGGTAAACAAACGGTAAAAAGGCGGTAAAACAGGCGGTTGAAGGCGGTTGCAGGCGCTTGCAGGCGGTTGTAGGCGGTGGAAGATGGTTAAAGATGGTTAAGACATAAAAGACTTAATTAAAGGAATTGTCCAATAAAACAGGAAGGTGGGAGAAGATATCAAAAGAAACAATGAGTTGGTTTGAGCCACTCCCCTGCTGACAAGGCAGATCCAGAGCGAGTGAAGAAGAAAACAGGTCTTCAAGCCAACCATTCTGTATAAAACGCGATTACAATGACCACTTGAAGAATACGTTGAAGTCACCGATCGACCACTGGTGGTACCGTACCGCGGTTAATGTAGCGGAAAAGTCGTAAGCATACCGGTACCGTGTACTTGAACACGTCGGAGCGATCTGGCCCTTTTCTGACGTCTGTCCATCAGTGCGAAACTCCTAACTTTGACGAATGATTATCGAGGCTCAGCCTATCACAATTTGTTGTTGGACAGACCCTCCAAACCAAAAGCAAGTTCAGTGTTTTCTTCTTTCTTTCTCTACACTTTTCGCAAACCGATAGCCTTCTCTTGGGCTCACAACAAATAATGCCGTGTTCATTTACTGCACAGCATACTACAGGAACACGTCTCCTCTGGTTTAGAGGCGAGATGGCACTTAAGGCGAGACTGGCCGGGCGAGAGCAGAAAGGAGACCGGCCAGGCGAGACTTAAGTGACAGCGAGACTCAACCAGCCGAGACGTGTTCCTGTTGGAACCAGTTGAGAAGGGCACCCTAAGTAACCAAAATGTGACCGTTAAATTGTCACCTAGAAAGAAGTCCAGACTGAGTGGAGTCGAGTCCAGACTTTTCCTCCAAACTTCAACTTCACATAGACTCACTATTAGTACTAGAAGCTACACAGACTGCACTAATTTCTTCGAGACGGGTTCCACCGCAGATCAGCTAACTCACTACACCCTCCTCCGTCAACCATGAAACTCCAAGAAACAGCAAAACTGATGATGCTGTCATCCACTGCCACAGCTGAGGAAACTGATGGGTTGGGCATCAAGACCAAAGTTGGGTTTGTCGTGGGGTTTGCCCTCGGATTTGTGTTCATGCAAGCCATGGTCTTTCTGGGCGGAGAAGCTGACTTTCGACAACTCTTTACCGACCCTTCCTCCGCTGCTGCCAAGCAAGTCAATCCATTGGGTCAGGCATTTGAAGCATCGCTGCGAAACATACAAGACGCTGCCAACGGGACGACCAAGAACACCAGCCGAGTGGCAACAACGGATGCTCTGGCAAAGCCACAAGAAGAACAACCAGCCATGACGGCGGATTCTTTGTTTCAACTACCCTTTTATATCTACGACAATGAACTGGACTGGTCGGTCAATGCCACCGTGACTCGTGGTACCAATCAAGCGGAATTGTTGAATCAGAGTGGATTTTTGGGTTACAAGCATTCTGATGACTACTGGTTGCTCCTTCATGCCAAACAACATCCCATGCGAACCATGGACCCCAGCAAGGCAGATTTGTTCTTTGTCCCCACCCTCCTCTCTGCATGGAATGCCCACGGCTACGAAGGCGATGCCAGCAAAAACAAGTTCTGTGCCCACAATGGGATTTGCAACCAAAAGTTGCTGGAACGAGCGGAACAGGTGCTCCAAGAATCCAAATGGTACCGACGCAGTCAAGGACGCGATCATATTGTGGTGGACACGCACTGGCGCAAACATTGGAACAAACTGCCGTATTCTCGTCTTTTGAATTGCAATTCCATCAGCTTTGAAAATTTAGTCCCCACGGATGGAAATCCTAAAGGGCACCAAATCCCCACCGGTGGACGGGTCCATATTCCTACACTCTACGTTGGCAGACAATGTCAGGATGAGACCAACAAGACGCATGACTTTGCCATGATTGCCACGTTTAAACCGGGGAACAAGAACTTTCTGGATCGGGCTCATATTTGTCAATGGCTGGAACAAAACAACCACCAGCAGAATTACACAGTGTCACGCTGTGGAGGAGGTGATATGTGTCCTGCCTTGGGACAAGCACGATTTGGATTTCATGCTCGAGGAGATACATGGGGCTCCAATCGGCTCATGGATACCTTCCTGAGTGGCGCCATTCCAATCATGACCAGTCCGGAGCAAAGAAAGATCTTACCGGATTTTCTGCCATGGGAAGACGTGTCGTACATGGTCGATCTCTCCAACTCCACTTCCTTTGATACCTTCATACAATCCATTCTGCAAAAAACACCCCAAGAATTGGCAGAAAAACGAGCCAACATTTCCAGGCACAGGGACATCTTTCAGACAAAGTCCAAGGGACGACAATTTGACCTTTACATGCACAAGTTTGCACAGATGCTGGAGTTGTATTGAAGGAAGGCAATCATAGACACAGCCGGCTACCTTAGGACTTTGGAGGTTCATGCGTGGAAGAGCCTACACTGTACAAACAGAGGTTGGCCCGAGGACTTGCCATGGAGCCAGAGTGAACAACAGTTTTTGCATGTCTCGTGGCGTTTGGTGTTCGTGTATGAGTCGACGGATCGACTCTTGTAGCTGCGCCTCAACACAAACATACAGTACAGTGTACCGGTGCTGGACTCGCTGGGTTTCTTGCAGGGGTGAAACGAGTCCAAAGCGATGCAGCCGTCTTTAGCGGCTGTGGCTAACAATAAGCAGTTTCATCATGTCCAGATCCAGGAAAGACCTGTTGTTGTGGGTGGGCACATTTTTTCCTTGATCGGGACATGCACCTGTTGGTTGGCACCATAAGATGGAAATTTCAAGTTTCATTACTATAGTAGGCTAATTTCAAGTTTCATTACACTAAGGCTCGGGTCTACACATCAACGCTGTCATCTGCGAGATCCTGCGAGGTGGGAAATGCCAATGCCACTGGCAGCTCATGGAGTGTTGCGGCTGCTGCTCTTCCTCGGATTTGAGTAAAGGTAATGCCACGGGGCAGCATGACCTTGTTTTGTCCTTTTTGATTTTGGGAAAATTTGGGCAGTGTCCTTTCCTCGAAGTCTAGCTGTGCCATGAAGCCAGGCATGTTTACAAGGCATTTGCTTTGGCGAGCACATTGTTGGCCACCATCGCAAGATTGTTATGTTGGATTGCGGATTGAAGTGTCATCATGTGAATTTTCTTCTCGCGACTGCTCTCCGTACCAACTTGAACTTTTCCTGCTATTCCTCCAAGGATCACTTGGGCACGAACATATCGCCCCATTTCGTAACGAAAGATCCCATCCATGGCCAAAGCACGTTTCAGCGCCGGCACGAGATCCTTGGCAAACGCGTCCGTGATGTGCTTCCATGTCTGTTCGCTGACACCCATGTCTTGAAGCATTCTTGGTACCGATCTGTATCGCTCCATCTTGACTTGTGCTACAGTTTGGTTGAATTCTGGCGCGAGATGTGGCTGGGTATCGACAAGTTCGCAATGCATGCCAAAGCTTTGCACTTGGCTGGTGAGTCGATGCTTAATTTGGGGCACCACTCGGATGGCGACTTCTCCTACCGCAGATGTGAGTAAAGACAGGACTATGTTGGAATCCATGCCCGTGACTTCTGTTCCATTGATGGACAAGACCTCTTGTCCCGGTTGGAGCCCAGAGCCCTGCAAGAGACCAGCCTCCAAGGCCTTGACCAAATAGGTTCCATTTTCCAAGCGGTCAAGCCTCAGTCCCAGCTTTTGGCTGGCACTGGTCTTTGTTGCTGTGATGGTCATTGTGGATGTCATTGTGATTGTTTGCTTGTTGGATTGTTGTATTATTTTTGCGGTGGATGTGTTGATTTATGCTTTTGTTTTAATGGGTATCCGGGGATCATGGATCCTCTTTCAAGTTGCCCTACACGGTACGACTGTACCGGTACTGTACCGGTACCGGTACCGGTACCTAAAATAACTAATCTACTAGTATGTTTGAAGATTATTCATTCGTGCCGATTAATCTAATCATTCGCATTTCGCATGCGTTTTTGGAGGTCACGTCCAGGTCTCGAGGCAGTCGCGCTAGTTATGCGCGGACTGCAATCGTACCTCGTCAATAAGATACAACCGCTCTGTTCGGTTCGTGTTCTGGAAGTATCTAACCTCCCAATCCTACATCCGGCCCAAATCCTACATCGGAGCCACACAAAACTTTCTCAAGCTCAGAATGTCATCACATGTCAGTGAAACAAAATGCCTATGCCAATTCCTACGCGGCAAGAAACACAAACCCAAGAACTCGGACACCTTTGCTTGGCACTTTGCTGCCAAAGCAGTGGCAACCACCACAGGAGACCCCACAGCATCTGACATTCGGAAACTCTACAACCTCAAAATACTGTGGCAGGGCAACCCCCTGTCCACAGTCAAAACGTCCGGGACAAACGACTGCATCCTATGTAATCAAGAACGGCTTCACATCTTCAAACGTATGAGAAGCAAGCCTTCTACAGTTCTCAACAGATGTGAAGAACTATTTAATACATGCCGTCAAAACCACGGTTCCACCGGTTCACCCATGCAACCCCAGTGAGCAGCACTGATGAGCCCTCAATGGGCGAAAAAGTGCCAACCACACCAATGCTGTGTGTGAATGCAATCGATATAATCCATAGAAATAGTACCACAGAGTCCACCCATCACGCCACAGTTCTGCTGCCTCGTGCCACTCGGCGCCAGAACTCTAGCCTGAAGGCTTTTCTCTATCAATCCCAGTAAAATTATTTAGCATTTTTAAATACCTCGTCAATAAGATACAGCAGCTCTGTTCGGTTCGTGTTCTGGAAGTATCTTTGAAAAGGGATTGATGCCCAAGCTCAGTATCTTTCATATCTTATATCCACTAGCAGCTACGGTATTGCCACATAACATACTACTAACCATACCATCGGACATTGAGGAGCCACCACCAAAATCTCAAGAAGGCAAAGGTGCAAAGATGAACTTGATGAAACCAGAGCTATGGTGGTACGGGTAGAGGAGGCACTCGAGGATGGGGATAGGGACAACTTGGATGTTGGTGGTGATGCGGATATAGTGGTAACTAGCTGCCCTCACTCCCCACATACTAGTAGTAGTATTAGATTAGGATTTGAAACCTTGGCACTCATAGCTTATCTTAATGACAACGGGAAAGTTACTATGGGTTAGAGGGAACTATGATGAGGATGGGGTGCAGAGAAGGGAGGGCAGCATGCAGGAACGCAAGCCAAGCAATTGAGTGGGCAAGCAGGGCATCATCGAAACCAAGGAGAGGGTGGTCAGGTGGGAGGGCAGGGAAGAGCAAAGGAGGAAAAGTAGCGGAAGATCTTAAAATGGTTTGGGAAATCTGAGTGTCTAGCTCTAGCTAGTCTAGGCTATCCCAAAAGTTCTATATTGAGTATTCTTTTAAAAATTCATGGCCAAGCAGAGGATTGAATCGAATGATTCAGAGCAGCAACTCGCTTCGTTTCTTGGCCAGGGGTGACGAGCCCAAAGCTTCCTTATCAGCTGTGGGGCTACCAATAGCTCTACCAATATGCACAGCTTTCAAGTTTCATCAAATGAACAGTCAACATTTGATACTACTTTACTAGCTAAGTCTCCTTCATCGGCACGGAACTTCATAGACAGAATGCATCAAACATGGCTCTCATTGGCTTCTGGCACACCCAACAATTGAATCCAACTGTTTCAAGTCGTTATCAAAGAGATATTCCTCCTCATCCCCATCGTCGTAGCGCACCTTGTACCGATCGATTTCCATCTTCACAATGTGACCCTCGAACCAACCATTCCCCTCAAAGAACTTCTTCACTGCCGTCCCAATTTTGTGATGCAACTTCGCAGCATTGGAAACCACCTCATCCAACTCCTTCTGCTCCTTGGGCATTTCGTACGTTTCCTCGTCGCCGTCTTGGTATCGCACCTTGTAGGTTTCATCCTTGGCCTCATAGCCAGCAACTTTGCCCTCAAACCATCCGTGACCTTCAAAGTATTTCTTCACGACCGTGCCCACTGCGTGCCGAGGAGCCCGGGTTTGTCGTGCATTTTCAATGATCTGGTCCAAGGCCTTTTGCTCCTTGGGAAGCTCAAACGTTTCTTCGTCCTGATCTTCGTAGCGGATCTTGAACATGTTCCCTTGGTAGATTGATATGATTTCTCCCTCGTACCAACCGTGGCGGCTAAAGTACTTGAGAACCTTGGTACCCACTTGATAGGGTGTTGTAAAGACAGAATCTTCATCCTGATCCTCTTCCTTACCATCGCTGTCTTCCATCGAGGATGCGGCAAGAACGGTAGATTGATTTTTTCGGCTTTGTAGCCGTGCTGGAGGTTTTCTGCCCTCTTCTTCTTCCTCCTCTCGTTCTTCTTCCTTGTCGACTCTTTGCCTGGGAGCCTTTTTCCGTTTTCCCTTGGCTGGAGGCTTTTTGTCGTCTTCCGTTGCTTCCTTCTTGCCGTTGGTCGCCGATCTACGGCGAGCACTTGCTGCTGCTGCTGGAGGAGGAGGGGTTTCTTCTTCTTCCTGCACTGGTTCCTTGTTGCGTTTGGCTACCCGTCTTCGTTGAGGCCTTGCAGGCGATTCCTCTTCTTCCTCCTCCTCTGGTTCTTCCTTTTTGCTCTTGGCAATCTTTTTCTGTTGACGGGCTCTGGCCGGCAGCTTACTGTCTTCGTCGTCTTTCCCGCGCTTTTTGATCACCTGTCGACGCGGACCCTTTGACGAAGGAGTTTCTTCTTCGTCGTCCTCGACACTTGGTGCCTTTTTGCGCTTGCCCACTTTTTGCTTCTGTGGAACCTTTGCTGCAGGTTTTGTATCCTCTTCATCGTCATCTGAATCTTCTCCAACCTTATGCGCCTTTTTGCGTTTTGCCTTGGACGAAATGCTTTGTTCCTCCTGCTCCTTCTTCTTGTGCGTCTGTTTATTGGTGCGAGTGGTGTCTTTGGTGCGTTGTCGTTTTGCTGGTGGCTTTGAATCATCCTCCTCTTCTTCCTCTTCATCATCTACGGAAGGACGTTTGCTCTTTGATTTTGATTTGGCTTTGGGCGTTCTTTGTTTTTCCTCTTCCTCATCAATAGGGGAAGGACGCTTTCTTTCCTTTCTTGTCTTGGCTTTTGCGTTTTTTGGTGGCTCCTCTTCATCATCGTCGTCATTGCCAAGAGAACTGCGCCGACGACGTTTTCTCTTGGATTTGCTCTTTCCTCCTTTTCCCTTTTTCGATGTGGATGCCTTTAGATAGTCGGCCAAGTTTAACAGTTCTCGGTTTGGTGTTTTGGCTTTGGGTTTCTGTTCCTCCTCGTCATCGTCGTCGTCCGTGTCATCATCGTCATCGTCGTCGTCGTCCGTGTCATCGTCGTCCTCCTCTTCGGATTCAGAGTCGTAGGCATCCCCATTGTCCACCGACTCATCATCGTCGTCGTCATCCGATTCCGAATCGTCATCATCATTCACCAAAGACGCGTACGGTTTGCCCTTTTTGGCTCTTCCATTGGATTTGCTATTTTTCTTGGCCGCCTTGCTACTGCCATTCTTTGTTTTCTTGCCATTCGTATTACTAGCCGTTTTCTTATTGTTGTGATTGTTGCGTTTCCCCCCCGCTTCTTCGACATTTTGTTCTCGTGGCGGTGGATCCCAAAATCCAATGGCATCGAGTCGATTATTCAACTGTTGTGGCAATTTGCCCCGTCGTTGTTTCCAATCATTGTATTCGGCCCATCGCCAGAGTTGTAGATTGTCTTCTCGTTGCACATACGTGTGTCCTTTGGCGTGTCGAAATGTGTGGAGGAGTTGGAATTTGGCATCCCACTCCAATTGTTCTTGCTTGGCTTGTGTCGGACACCAGATGAAATCCGTGTCGTGGAGTTTGTCTTCTTGACTTTTAGGTAGTGTGCCATCGTGATGACGTTGTCGTTGTTGTTGCATCCATGTGTAGAGGGTTGAAAACTGAGAGTGTGGAACCACAAAGTGTCCGTGGTCCTGATAGAAATCCACCAATTGTTGATACATGTCGTCCCAACTAGTGGATGAAACTTCCTGTGGTTGTGTGTTGTTGTCGTCATCTTGTGATGGTTGTTGTTTGTTTTTGTGTTTCTGTTTGTTGTGGACAGCAGTAGTACTAGTCGTACTACTAGTATCCCATACAAATCCAATACTGTTCAATTTGTCCATTCGTTCTTGCGGCAGGCGTCCCTCTTTGTACCGATGCCGTTGGGCGGCCGCCCATTTGGCCAATGCTTTACTGCCAGCAGTCGAGTGTTTGGATTCCGACACGAAACAATGGCCGTGCTGTTGTTGAAATTCGACCAATTGATGCCATTTGTCCAACCAATTTTTTTGCAACAATTGGTCGCGCGTTTCCAATTCAAAGCCAATTTCTTGTAACAGAGCGTGTCGACTGGGTGATAATTCCTGGCGGCACATTTGTTCGTGTTGCCGACGACACCAGTCGCCAAGTGTGGGATGATGCGGCGAGACTCTGGCATGGTCGTGTTCTTGCCGATAGTCCAACAATAGGGCATAATGGGTCTGCCAGTCTTCGCTATTGTCATTGTCATTGTCATTGTCATTGTCATTACTATTCGTAATGGTCCAATCAAACTGCAATTGGTCGAGTTTGGCACGTTGTTCGGGAGTTAGTGTTGCTGCTTGACGACGTTGTCGATCGACCCAGAGAAATAACTTGGAATGCTGCCCATTCTTCTTGCGATCCAATGGCGATGCATGACCATGGCGTTTGTGGTACGCTTGCAGTTCGCGGTATTTCAAGTCCCACTCATCCGTTACCGTGTGGTTCTGAAGAGTCTTCATGGTGGCAGTAGCAGTACTTGAAGACGGAGGCAGGGTAGCCGTAGTTGTGGGAGCCATTGGCAGTTGCTTCCGAATGGTTGTGCTACCTCCGGTTGGGCGCTCTTGGCGGATGCTGCTGTTGTTTCGATCAATTTCTTGGTTCATCAAATTCTCAAGCGAATGGGTTTCACTGCTGATGCTGATACCACCGAGACCTGATGAACGCACCAAACAAACCATCGAGTCGAGTCAGCTGGTGGTATAAACTTGGTCCAACAAGCTGGCTAGCTAGCTAACTACTGTACCTCTAGCTAGCTGGCATACAGTACAAATAATTGGTGTCTGAGAGGCAAGAATAAGCAAGGGAGCAGAGAGTCGAGTCGAGTCTTGGTCGGGAGCATCCCAAAAATTTCAAGGTCCCTGCCTGGCTTCCGTATGCCTACGGTAGAAGACTTTGTCTTTATCTAAATCCTCGTCGCTTGAATGCCAGTTCATTGTGCCACTGTATGTGCCACTCCCAAATGGGACTTACCATTGTGCCCTTGATGCATGTATCAAAAAGTCACAACGATGTGGGAAACAGGCCTGGCATGGGCCAAGGCGCGCATACCAGAAAACATGATGTACCGGTACCAGTGAAGGCAAGTCCGCACCAAAGTGGAGGCATGAAGGCACCACCACAAGCATGCAGCAGCTATTGCTATAGTTATTGGTAGCATACGGATATGGCCCAACCGAGGGGATCACTAGCTAGAAGTAGCTACATTTGATTTGAACAAAAAGTTTCCAAAACTAGACTAACTATCAGCTAGTCAAGCTCGCAAGGAGCACAATCAGCACACCCACAGAGAAAAGTGCCTTGGCAGACGGTTGTACTGCTATTCACTGGCACGACGGCACACAGTAGACTACCATAGCATTGCTTTTCCTGATGGTGCATTCTGTCACACAGCTCTTCCGGGATGCTGCCCGACAAGGATGTCTCCGTGACTACCAAGTTGGTCAACTTCTTCAGCGAAAGTAGCTCCGTCCTAGGTAGTGTGCCAGAAAGGTTGGTATTCTGCTGTAACTCGATTTGTCTGAGATCAGACAGTTGGCCCACTTCTGTAGGAATGGTGCCCACTAACAGATTGTCATTGAGGTGCAATGCCTGCAGGTTGGTAAGTATAGACAAGAGGTTGGGTGGAATTGTTCCCTCCAGCTTGTTGGAACCAAGATGTAAAAATACCAGATTGGTAAACTCCAACAATATCGGTGGCAGAGTTCCAGAGATTGAATTGCCACCCAAGTGCAGATGTGTCAACTTGCTCAACTTTCCAATCTCCCCCGGTAGAGTACCATGAAAATTCCAGTCCTGCAAATGTAGGAGTGTTAGTTCTGTCAGAGTGCCAATTTCAGATGGAATTGACAATACTGTCCCAACGCTTTGGCTGGATAGCATCAGGAAACGAAGCTGTCTTGTGTTGCTGATGATTTCTTGAAGGATGTATTCAGTTTCCAGTCCAGGGCAATTCAGAATTAATAGAGACTGCAGGCCGGGCAATTTGTAAAGATCAATTGGTACAGAACCTGTTATATTGGCTCTCCCCACAATCACTGTCGATAAGTTGCGCAGTCGTCCAATCTCAGAAGGAATATGCCCCTGAATTGGTGTCCTATGAAATTGAAGCAACTGAAGACTCTGCAGTTGACCCAACTCGGTTGGAAAGGAGCCATCAATGTTTACCACACTCAAAAGTAATCGAGTCAATTGTGTCAGCAGCCCAACCACAGTTGGGATGGTTCCCTTGAGTCCCAATTGCCGAATTATTTCGATTGACTGCAAACTTTTCCCAAGCAAGGAAATCTCCGGAGGAATTGTTCCTTCCATGTTATTGGCCTGCCAAAATGCCAGTGCCTTGATTTCTCCCATCTCATTACAGCACAGGTCTGGAGAGAATGTGTCATCCATAAATAATTGTTCCCAGCTGCATTCATTTGTCTCCCAATCCAGCCAGCCACGATGTTTCACCCAATAATCCCCTCTTGTGGAATAGTAGAATGTGGCCATAGAAAATCTTTGTATCAGTCTCCATTTTGGTAGATCTGGTTGAGCAAGCGTTTGGTTGTTGATGTTGTTGACCAACCATTGATAGGCCTTGGACTGAGGAGATCTGGAGTTTGCCAGTGCCTTTTGTGTGTACTGAGGTAGATTGAGTGACTCCAAAAAGGTCTGTGTTGTTGCCGCTTCCACGGGATTTGCAGGAAGACGAGATGATCCAATTTGATTTGGTAGCCGATTTCTGTTTCCTTGTTTGGATGTCACCACGAAAATTAGGACAACAATCGATAAAATAAGGAAAGCCACAATGATCTCAGCAGAAAGGGAACAAATCAATTTTTGCCTCCAGTAAGCTCTGGATCGCGCATTGGAGGGCACGGGCTCTGCATTGGGTAGCAGCCCTGTCTGCTGATCATCGTCTATAGGATGGGCAATGATTTTATCATCTCCAATTTCTTCAACCCAATTGTCAAGGCCTTCCTCACTCGTACCAGCATGACTATTCGAATGATTCTCTCTGAAATTAGCAAGACATGGACCACCAACGGCATAGGCACCAGGATTCCTTTGTTGTTGCCTAGAATATTCGGTTTGTCTTGATAGAATAGTTTGTTGCGGCACTTGGCATCCTTTGTGGTTCTGTCATAGTTGTTGTTGCTCTCCTGGCGGGTTGTCTTGCTACCATTTTCGGCGACCTCTACCAGCTCCAAGTCCCCAGCTGTCTCATGACTTGCGGCAGCAGTAGCCCTTTCTCTGACAATTTTCATAATATCAAAGCCACCACACTTGTGGTGGCCGAGGTTGGAGGAGGAGGGGCAGCACCAGTGGCAGCAGGACTACTGGTAGCAGAAGAAGCAAAGTAGCTCGAGGGAGCATCGGAGGCAGCTGCTGTTTCTTCCTCTTCTTCGCCGCTTTCCGCACTGCCTTGCCGCAACCTCCACTCCACAATCTTGAGAAGATCAACATCATCATTGTCGCTACCATTGACGTTGTTGTTGCTGTTGTCAGACATGGTCGTCAATCGATCGGGTGCCAGATACAATAGAGAATAGATCCAGGCTTTGCTGCTTGAGGCACGTGAACTCTGGTTGTCTCATCGTCGTGGATAACAACAGTTTACCCCGGCCCCGGCTGGCTTCCGTAGATAATTTCCCTACTCTAAAACCCCCCCGTTTACCCCGGCTGGCTTCCGTAGATAATTTCCCTACTCTAAACCCCCTTATATATGTTAACCCTATAAATAAAATAAATAACTATAAAGGGGATTACGTGAAAGGAAAGGAACGTCACTAGGTAACTCAAGGGGTTCGGGGCGTGACGTAGGCATATATGGACCGGCAAGGACTGAGGACGGAGGAATAGAGGGATCGAGCCTGGCGTGTAATGGTGCGTTGAAAGTGTTGTGCCAGGTGGGTAGATAGATTGAGGGCGAGTGACTGGTGTGCCCAGCGTGAAGGTGTGTAGGGTTGGGTGTCGATGGAGTAGTTGGTGGGAGTGACGAAGTGTGTATCGGCGGTGGGGAGGATGTCGGTTGGAGCTGAAAGGAGTTGGCTGTAGGAGCGTTGTGAGTGGGGTGGGAGTTTGGCAGACCATGGGGGTGCTGGGAGGGGGGATGGTTGGTGAGAGGAGCCGTAGAGAAGGGCATGGGCAAAGGGGCCGAGGTGTCAGCCTTCTACGGCGAGACTCGACTCGAGACAACCTGAGCCAAGGTCTCAATAATCAAGAGGGAGTTCGACGACGCTTTGGAAGGCAAGCTCACAAAACAAAAACAGCAGCCAAACACCATCAGCCAAGAAGCAAACTACAAAATTCGCAAGACAATGTTGACCAAATCTTACGCCATCCTCGCAGCAGCCACGGGTGGTGTCACCGATGAGCACGGGAATATTCGATTGGTGGCATCCAACTACGCCAGCAACAGCAGTCGAGCCATTGATATTGACCCATCCATTGATCCGTTGCGGCTTCAAACGGGACTTGCCAATGCCCAAGAGGCCGAAGTGGGTGTGGTAGTCAAGACACACGGAGATTACGTGGGGGGTATCGTGCAACTCACAGAGCTCTTTGATCCCTACTGCGATGACCCCGTTATTGGATGGGAAGGACCGCGCAACGATGCGGATCGTCTGTGTGTCGAAGTGCAAAATGTCCAGTTCGCAGCAGGTAAAGCGGGGATGCAGCCATTGAACCACATCTACACGGAACCACCCAAGCCCACATAGCACGGGCAAGTCCAACTGATTCGATGTGGAGATGCCGCGCAGGTCATTGTGGACGCCAACATCTTTGAAGCAAACTTGGAAAACTAATCAGCAAGCCGACTTGTATGGTTACATGTACCGTAGATGATAATTCTAGCAGCCAGCAATCCTATACCGGTATACTTCAATCCTACTTATCCGGGCAAGGAACACAACCAATCACACAGCGACGTCCCTCGGCGGACAGTTGCGTTGGTTTTGACTGGAACTACCTATGCATACCGGTAGTGCACACCGTGGACGTCAAAGAAACAACTTCATTCCATTCCGAACATTTTGTCACGCAGCTCTTCACAGATACCGGTACGGTACCAGGTACGGTACTGCCTGACAGAGATGCGGTTTGATTACCAAGCTGGTCAAGTTTTTAATTTTATATTAAGGGCAAGTAACGCACGTAGCTCAGGACCCACTGTTAGCTAATGAAGTTGACCAGTTTTCCACGGCGTGCCCGAAAGTGGGCATTCTCTCACAGTTCACACAAAAGGCTCGGTTTGTTTGCCTCAACGGCAGAAAAGGAAGAATCTCACAGTTCTTGCATGCTACAAGAGAGATCTCCATGATCATGTGTCTGCTGTTCTGTACTCTGAAGATGCCATTATAGTCGTTCCAGGAGAATTTTTGGACTCTTGGCCGGGTCTTTTGCGAGTAAAGGCAAGTCACACTCTTGTGCACGAAAGCACCACAATATGATTCTTTGGCATGATTAGCAACTAGACCAACATTGCGGAACAGCATTGTCAACACCATGACAAATTCCAAATCGAGCTTCTTTAGCCCTACGAGATGGATGAACCTACCGCATCCACCTAGGGGGAAGCTCGTCGTTGTGCTTGGAGCGATCGTATTCTTCGTCTTGGCGGTTGTAGTTCCAATATCCCTTAAGATCCGACCTTCCCACCCCCACTCGAATGAATCCTTGGGGCTTCTTGAGGATGCAAGTCCAGTTGAAGTTGCATTATCTGATGGCGAGGACACAGATGCAAACTTCACCCTTCGCCCAAGTCCGGGTCCACCCGGTACCATCTCACCAAGTACGTATACTCACTCGATCCTCCCTCTTCTTGACGACGATGACGACGATGACGACTCCATTTCCGACTACCAAGACGATGCGTTCGAATTCCTTCGACCGCTCCAAGTGGATACTTCTTCTCCCCAGCGCTCTGGATCTCCTTCGCCAGCACCACCGAACGCCTCCTCCTTTGAGCCATCTGCAGTAAACACTAGCACTCCATCAAGCATTCCACTGATTTTCACTTCCTCACCTTCTACTTCCACATCTTCAGCAGGTTCACTGGACATGCTACCCTCGCAACTACCTTCGTCGTCCTCCCAGCAACCTTCTTTGTCGCCCTCTGACGCGGTCACGTTTGTACCCGGTCTTTTGACCCACTTGGAACACGGTTTGTTGCTTTCAGAAGGTCTCACAGCTCAAATTATAGCAGAAAGTGGCCAACCAGTCAAGTATTGGAATGGGACGACCTCGAAGCTCCAATTTCATGGAATGCCAGACTTTGGGGCGACGTTTGAGGACTTGCGCGACGACAATCCAAATGGATGGGTTTACTTGAGCAACAGCGAAATGGAAGAAGTTGGTTCCGGGAGCGTAGGAAGCATTATCTTTGATAGTGAAGGTCACGTCATTCGATATGAGCGATTGCTCTCAAATACTACGATGAACTGCGGCGGCGGCATAACACCTTTCAATACTTGGATTAGTTGGTAAGTGGAGGCACAAAAAAATTTCGAGTGCCATCAGTGCTGTCATCCTCATTTTCTTTTCCTGCCTCCCAGTGAAGAGACCAAAGGAGGGCGAAATTATCAAGTGGATCCAATGAATCAGTTGGTTGCCGCTCCAATCACGCTAGGGAAGGAAGGAGGTCACTGGGAATCCTTTGCTTTTGATGTGAGGAATAAAAGCAGGTGAGTTTAGGGAGGCGCACGCGACTGTCCCCTGATCTGCTTCCTGTTCCCGTTCTCATGCTATTCTTGCAACTGCCAGTCCAAGATTCTTTGTGACTGAAGATGCCGAAAAGGGTGCACTCCAACGATTCACACCACACAATGCAACTTGGGATCCCCCCGAACAGGCCTGGAAGATGCTCCACGGCGATGGACTGGTTGAGTATCTTTTGCTAGAACCGAATTCAGGCCAAACATCAGGGACCTTTTCATGGGGATCAAACCGTGCGGCTGCCAGGAACAACGCGTTCAATTATTACCCACAATCCGAAGGAATCGATGTACACGAGGGACGGCTCTTCTTTGTCTGCAAAAAGGTAAAGCATTTGTTTGAGTTGGATTTGGATGCTGGAACCTACACAAGGCAGTCGACCACGACGGGTCTTTTCGACGGTGGTCCTGGTAAGTTCCAAAACACGGCAAAGGATGTATTCATCAAAGAGATCCATGCTGACACACGCCACTCTTAGATCAGCTACATAGGATTCTTGAAGATGGCTTTGATGACTTCCTCTTTTTCACGGAGGAGGGTGGCAAGGTAAGACTGCACGACCGCGGGTGGCAATTCTTGACCCAGCAACCGATGCCGCCTCAAAATCTCAGCTCTTCGTTCTGTTTTCCAGGACGCAGGCATTCATGGTAGGGATGCTACAGGGTTGTTCTTCACAGTGCTGGAGAGTCCCATCTACAATGACGAGACCACAGGGCTGGCCTTCTCGCCATGTTTCAAGCACATGTACGTAGCGTATCAACAGAATGGCTTGCTCTTTGATGTGACGAGACAGGATGGTCTACCCTTCTACGCAAGATCTCTGAATGTCAAGTATCATGCCATGGATAGGTGATGATTACCCGCGAACACGACTTTCATAATGGTTTCCTTATCTCGGCTGTGATATCGTGGCTAATTGATACCAGTAAACACCTATCGTTCAGCTTATGGGCAGGTCCTACTGTCTTGCTTGCACCTTTTCTCGTCCTCCTTCGGGTTACAGTACTAGTAGCACTAGCGGATTGACCAGGCAGTCAGGTTTCAGCAGGGCCTTCGGCTGAAGCTCTAAAGCCCAAAAAATCTCGTGAAGAGACGAATTGTGACAAGTCCACCAATGGCGTTTTGTTTCCAACCAACTTCTTGGAGCTGCAACAAAGACTTCGCACTCATCATGGCAGCAACTGTATGTTCCAAACAACCACAAACCGGTGTCTCTGTGCCCCTGTGTTGAGTGGAGGGGTCCACAGTCACGCGAAAGAAGAAACGAGGATCGCTGTTTTGTTGGGGCAGGGGAAGACAACTTTGGAATTCAGGTAGATGCGGTTATTCAGTCTTCAAAGTACAGTGTACGTGTAGTTTGTGACTATTACCCCAAGTTAACCTAACTACAGTACCGTACGTTTAGTTAATTAAGCTGTCGCAAGTGAATACATATCAATTGCTTTCCACAAAGATATTTGTTCCACGATTGAATGTCCCGTAGCCAAAGAACTTTCTCGTCACCAAATTCGTCCGTCCTTGAAATTTTGCACCCATTACGTCTGCTGTCAGAGGATGCATCTTCAATTGCAAAAGCTCGAGCGGAACTCGAAACAGGTGATGCAAACTATACCGGTACCAGAAGTATCCAGAGAACAATGAGCGACGACACCCCAGGATACTCTGAAATGGAGTGCCACGATGACGTTCCAGATTCTTCGTTGCCCGATGTCGAGGATGCCCTGAGATTCGCTGCTGGTCAAAACTCCCAAGCAAATGAGCGAAAGAGGAATGGACGGGCCGGTAGTTTCGTGTCCATTGCAATTGCCGTGTCCCTGGTGTTTGCTTGTGTTATTCTACTTGTTGCTGGCAACCGTCCCGCAAGTTCTTCAAGAGAAAACGAAGACAGTGCGATTTCCGGCAGAAACCTGCAGAATATCCATGGTATTTGTTCCGGAGAAGCAACTCCCTGCGATAATGTGTATAGCCCCACTATGTGCACCAATGTAGGCTCTACCACTGCCGTCTGCGATGCTGTTTCCACGAGTTGTCAGGCTACATGTGCAAGAGCAAGCTTGTCAGGATTTGAATCGCCTTGTCAATGCCGACAGGAAAGCTGCGTTGGTTTCAATTGTGACTATCAATTCAGTTGTGTTGGTGGCACTCCTTCCTGTCAAGAATTTGCCGATCCTGTTGTGTGTGCTCTGACGCATGGCTGCCGGTGGGTGACAGGTTCAGGGGCTTCCCTCCCGGAAGAACCAGAAAATGCACCGCTTTCTGAGACCCATTTCCGCGGAAGAGCTGAGCATGTCAAGTCGTATCTCATTGAACAAGGAATCTCAAGCGAAGAAGATCTCTCCAACACGGGGACTCCACAGCAAATGGCAATGAACTACATAATCACGGGCACGTCAGGTCCAGGTTTGGGCAGACCATACATTATAGAAGTTCCAGACGGCGACTTGACGACCCAATCGGGGTACGACTTTGTGACCCGCTATGTGTTGAGTGTTCTCTTCTATGCCTTGAATGGACAACGCTGGGTCTTCTTCTTGAATTTCTTAACGCCGACTCCTGTCTGCGAGTGGTTTTCACAACTGCAGTATGCCGACCTAAAGACCGAGCATAGAGGGGTGGTTTGTGACTTCAATACAAGCGAGGTGACTCAACTTCTCCTGAGTAAGTGTCAAATTGTCGACGCGACTCTAAGCTCCTGCTCTTGCTAACGAGTCTTCTTGCGTGCCCATTCTTCATTCAACAGATCAGAACAATTTGCAGGGAAACTTGCCGACCGAGTTGGCTCTCATTACCTCGTTGGCCACGATTGACTTGGATACAAACTTGGTGAACGGACCTATTCCCGATTCTTTCCAGGATCTTACCAACTTGGAGAGTTTCTTTTCGAGCAAAAACAGGATGAATGGGACCCTGCCAAGCTGGATCAATGTTTGGAAAAAACTTCGAAACATCAACTGGTCAAGCAACCTGTTCAGTGGAACAATTCCTGCTAACATGGGCAACTTGGAAGAATTGACTGGGATTGCTTTGGACAACAACCTTTTGACAGGGAGCTTTGACGGGCTCTTTGACACATCCAATGCTACAGGGCTCAAAAAGCTTGAACAGTTCTATGCGGAAAACAACCGGTTCACCGGAACCCTTGGGGAAAACTTTCTGAAAGATCTGGCAAACCTCACCTACTTGGACATTTCGGACAATCGATTTTCAGGACAAGTGCCTGTCCACCTGTTTGAGTTGCCGTCACTTCTAGTGATGGACCTACACGACAATGAGTTTGATTTGCTGCCATCAGAGTTCCCAAGCAATGATCATCTCGAGTTTCTAGCCCTGCACAAAAGCTCCTACAACAGTCAATCGATTCCGTCTTCCATCTCCAACTTGGAAGCTCTCCGACACTTGGACTTGTCGCAAAATGGCTTTACGGGAATGATGCCTGAATCACTTGGCACTCTGACCGACTTGAGGTACCTGTTCCTGGCGCAAAATGATTTCACCCCAGGGGATATTCCGCAATGGGTCCTTGGATTGAGTACTCTGGCGGAACTCTCACTCAAGTCAACCAACAGGACGGGCACAATCCCTGATAACCTTGGCAACGAGCTTCAAGGCTTGGTTTTGCTGGACCTCGACGACAACAACCTGGTAAGTTACATTTAATGCCTTCTCAGGATATGTGAAGAAAAGAAAAAGTTACTGACGTCAATTTATTAATCGAACTTTTCCATACACCACTCACGTTTGCAGGGAGGGGAGATTCCCTTATCTCTTGGTCTCCTCAGGAACCTCAATGTTTTGCTTTTGAATCGCAACAACTTCACGGGAGAGCTTCCTGATACATTTTCGAACCTTGTGGATTTGAGTGAGTTTTCTCATCGTTATTTCGCATGTGGAGAATTTCCACCTCAATCATCATACTCACTCACTCGCTAAATAAACAATACTGAATAAATCTTGACAGGATTGCTGTACATTGAGGCCAACGCGGAACTTGAAGGGGACCTTGGAGCTCTCTTTTGTGAAAATCCACGCTTTGCAATCAATCCTGTGATTATTGCAGATTGCAACCTTTGCTACTCATCAGACTGCTGTACACAATGCTGCGAGAATGGGGAAGCGTGCAATACAGGATATCATGTGCCTGATTTGGATCCCATGTGGCAACTGGGCTATAACCGAGTCTTTTTCACATTCCAAAGGGAGGATTACTTTATCAAACAAAACTATGAGGATGGAGAGGAAGCGTCTACAGCACGACTACCTCCTGGTTAGAGCGTCGAACATTCATTGAGAAGATAAGGAAGGGATACCGGCACTGACGGCAGCAATGTCTCATGTACAGCATGCAGACTTGTCTTGTACACTTTAGAACGCGCCTTTTAATTTAAAATAGTTTGCCAGCAAATACCAATCACTAGCTAGGCAGCTACCGGCATCGTGTCAACTGATGAAAGAAAGCCGTCAACAGATGAAAGAGGCCACTGCGGCGGTATCCGCCGGTATCTAGACCGGGTTTCTTCTATGCATAACTACCGGTATGCAATATACCGGTATCAGTAACGGTAGCTACCGGTACGGTGGCTCTACTACATGTAGCTATTTTAAAATAGAAGTCAGATGCAGAAATGTTGAAAATGTGGTGGGAGAATGACGAGCATGCCGGCCCTGGAGCAGCTCTCTCAAAACCGATATTGCTACAATATAATGGTACGTTCATCACCGATGAAGATATCATTCGTGCATGGGTCTAAGTAAGTTAAACTGTTCTTAGGGGCATTTTGCTTCTCAATCTCCAAACTGTCACATAGCACACGACCGCATAAAAAGTGAGGGTCGAAGCTTCCATTTTGCGGTCCACATAATAACCAACAACCAGATATGACCTGGGAAGAGACGTTTCAAGAAGGCATCAACAAGATAGTTGAGACGATGATGTACCCCGTTTCACTAGACACACCAGCTCCAAAGGAAAAGCCAGAAGAAGAACAGGCGTCCAATCTAGAGGAAAATCCCCAAAAGGCAAATGACACGCCACCGAAAGAGGAAGGTACCCAGGCAGCTGACAATAATGGCGATGAAAGCTCGACACTGGATGAATCCAAAGACACTTCCTACTGCTCCCAAACTCCCACTGCCGGAGAAGACGATTCCTTCACTACCGCAGCGACGCCAACGGTAGACGCACAAGCTCGGGCGTGGTATTATCTGCCAGAACCAATGCAACGTCTGTTGACAACTTTTACAACGGAGGAACGACAATTGCTTTGTGTGATAGCCTCTATTGCAATGCTCATTATCATGGTCAGCAGTGTCTCTGGTGCCCTGGCAACAGCTGGACATCCGAGTAGTATAGAGCCATCCTCCACCATGCAGGTGACATCATCCAATAATGGGACAGCAACGACAACAAGTACCGGTAGCACCACTGGACCAGCTCCAGCTTCACCAATACCAACCGAAATCCCTACCACCAAAGGCCCTGTCGGCACAAACGAACCTACCAGGTGGTACAGTGATATGACTACTGGACCTACCACGGATATTGAAAGCTATATTGCCGGAACACCAGCACCGAGTTACAGTTACAGTAGACGTCCTTCCATTGCGGGATACCGAACCCGAGCACCGACAACCATTTCCCCAACAAACTACGGTAGTACTGAAACACCCACCACTCCACTGAGTACAGGCACTCTTACTCCCTCAATGATGTCCAAACCAGAGCCGACACCTTATCATCATCATCATCTGCCGTCATTGGTACATCCCTTAACCACGCACAGGCCAACTCTCAGTAGCTACTTTCCTACCATTTCTCCAAACACGCCTCCACCCACCGCAACGACGAAAGCTCCTTCCGACTCGGTGGTGTTAGTCAGTGACAATCACCAGTATACCAGGGAGCCAACAGCGGTGCCGGTGTCAGCAGCAGCGCCAGTAAAGAAGTTTACCACCCCTCCCACCCGTGACGTGACACCCCATCCAAGCAAGAGACCCACAACAGTGGCGCCAACTTATATGCCCACCCAAAGTCCATCCGTGGCACCACAACAATCATTTCCAGAACATGCCACGACACCGCCTCACCCATCCTCCATGAAATTTGGAACGGCAGCACCTCGACCCACCAGTGTGGGGACCGACGCGCCTCAACCTGCGTATTCCAGTGTGGGTACCGCGGCACCACGACCTCCATCCTCCTTCCAGGGAAACATTACCTATGTCCCGGGCGTCCTATCGAAAGAAGTAAATGGACTCAAACTATCTCGTGGTCTCAACGCCCGTCTCATTGCCAAAGCGGGAGACTTTGTGTCCTATGCCACGGGTCATAATTCCTCCGTACCATTTCATTCTCGACCCGATGCAGGAGCCACATTTGCCGATACTCGATCCTGGAATCCCAATGGGTGGGTCTATGTGAGCAACTCGGAAATGCGCCTCGACGATGGTGGACCCAGACAAGGAGGAGTGGGTGCCATTACATTCGATGCACAAGGCAAAATTCTGCATTATGAAAGAATACTCTCCAACTCGACATGGAACTGTGGCGGAGGACGCACTCCTTGGAATACTTGGATCAGGTTAGTTGCTGCAGTTCACGCACGTCGTCACGAGCTTCTTGTGTCATTATTGGTGTAATAATGAGTCTCACACTTACTTGCCATCTCCCAGTTGCGAAGAAGCTCCAGGTGGCCTCATTTGGCAAGTGGACCCGTTTGGAATTCGGGAACCTGAAGTGCTGACACTTGGACGTGACGGTGGGCGATTTGAGAGCTTTGCGTACGATGCTAGAAATGCGAGCAGGTAAGTGCAAACATGATGTGTTTTGTTCCCATAGTGATTGATGCCATTGCCATCCTCATTGTGTTTCCCCACTGCTATTCAATGCTCCCCAGACCAAGATTCTTTGTTACTGAGGACCATGAAAGGGGCGCCCTACAAAGATTTACACCCAACAACCCCGATTGGACCAATGATCCATGGTCGATGCTTCATGGAAATGGCACCACAGAGTACCTAGTGCTAAAACCCAACAATCGAATGACTGGAGGCAAGTTTCGATGGACAAGTAACCGCGAATTGGCAGAAAACCGAGTTAGACGGCTCTATCCAAATACAGAAGGAATTGCAGCTCATGGCAACCGGCTCTATTTTGTGAGCAAGGTTTTCAAACAGCTTTATGAACTCAACTTGGACGAAATGACATACACAAACTCAACCACAAGGCAAGGGCTGTTCGACGGGACCCCGGATCAGATTCAACGCATCATGCATGCAGGATCTAAACAAACCCGAGATGCACCGGATCCTGAAGAGGAGATTCTATACCTAACAGAAGAAGATGGGCGGCACGCTGGAGTTCATGGCAGAAACGCAAACGGAGATTACTTCACCATTGTGGAAAGCCCTGTTTACGAAGACGAAGTGACCGGTCTCGCATTTTCTCCGGATGGCATGCACATGTACTTTTCCTACCAAGTACCCGGGTTACTTTTCGATGTGTATCGAGAAGATGGACGACCTTTCAATGCCAAGGCTCTTGATGTTCAATATCATGGCGGTCCCGCAATTCAAATAGACGAGGACGGGAATTCCATTGACTGAAAATGGAAGCATTTGATGCATTCCCTTCCCTTCACTCGAAGCAAAGGAAACAGTTAGTCACGATGGCTAATTTGTGATGGCATGACGTATAATATTATACAGTAGAGGCACCTACTAGTAGTATGTCTGTTACTAGAACCGTACCTTTGCCTAGTTTGCACATAAGACAGACCTAAACGTTGCATGACTTTCATTCTGGATAAAGGATAGACTAACTCCGTGTTGCTACTCTTTATATGCTGTCTTTGCTATGTTTGATCGCTGCATCCTTTCATCAATCCATCGCGGATGACTACCCGAGGTGGGCGGTTGCATTTTCGTCGTCCGGGTTTCTGGATGGGTGAGTTTGGACCCCGTCATGCTAAGCTTCTTCAGAGAGCGCAAATATCTTGTGGGCTTGCTTTGGAGGCGGGAGATGGACTCGCAGCTGAATCGATGGGGGTCCCCAACGAGGTTTGACCGGCAAGGGGGGTTCGACGAGCACTATGATTGGCCATTCGTCGGAGCTTGCGACGCTGCGCCATTTTGGCATTGTGCCAACGATTCTTGATATCATTCTCGGATCTACCAGGTATGAGCTTGGACATCTCGGACCACTTGTTCCCAAGGCGCTTCTGAGCTTCGTAGAGTATCTTGTTTTCTGCCTGGGTCCAAGGCGTCTTTTTCTTTTTCGGATCCAAAGCATTCATGAAACGTTGACGCAAATGATCGGGCACACGACCAGGAATCCGTTCTGCAATCTCCGTCCATTTGAGCCCTTCAGCGTGCAACTGCACGATCAGACGGTCTTCCTCCGGGTCCCAGTTGCCTCGTTTCAGGCCAGGCTTGAGGGCTTTCTTCCATCGTGCCTTGCATTGTGGTCCTGTTCGAGAGGTTGGAAAGTACTTGGTAGCAATGCGATTCCAATTGTACGGCGGTCCACCCTGCTCACTGGTAGCACGGGTCAACAGCTGGTCCTCTTCCTCGGTCCATCGTTGAAAGCGTGTGTCCTGAACCTTGGTTGGTTGTGTTGGCGGCGATAAGATGGATACGTCGTCGTCGTTAGAGGTCTCCGTCGAGTCGTCGTCATCTTCAACATCCACAGACGTAATTGGTGATTGTGCAGGGCCCCTTGGTTGAAGCATGTGATGAAAACTCGAGGGATTCGGGGAAAGTCGCAACGGCGGCGGTGAAGTCATCACGGAGGGCGATACCGGTAGGAGCAGGGCCGGGCCAAATCCCGTTTGGACAACGACTGGAGCATGCATCGATTGACCATCTTGTCCGATCGTAGAGCGGTTGGTTGGCATTGGATGTTGCTGTGGTTGTTGCACTGCTGGATAGCGCACGTGAGGAGGGAATATTCCCATTGCCGAGCTACTAGGATCACCCGTTACAAAGGGATTGCTGGGGAACATTGCGTTGCTGGGTTGAGTTACAGGGCGCTGCTGCTGCTGTTCCAGCAGGACCGTGTCATTGTCCACATCAAACACTTCGTAGTCCATCGTCGAGGTCGTCTTGACAGGTTGAGGGACGAACGGTTGTCGGAACAATTGGGCAGGATGGTTCATGTGCTCGTCGCGTCGGATGAAAGGAGAAGGAAGATGCGGCGGACGTTGGCCATTGCCAAACAGCCGTACAAACGGTTGACGTGGAGGCCATGGGTGATGCATAGGTTCGTCATCAATGGTGACTGCGGTGGGCAATGCGCTGTGACCAAGCATTGTTGAGAACTGAAAAGGAGAGGCATTGGGAGGACTTGGTTGTGTCGTTGGACGTGTTTTGGATGCTCGCACTTTAAGATTGGACTGTCCTGCTTGCGCTTGGCTGCTCACTTGTAAGGAAGCTGGTAGTGGCTTGTGTTCCATCGTCGAGTCCTTCGTCTTAGATTCCATTTCTCGAGTAAGGATCGCCTCGCAGAGATTGTTCAATCCGTGATGATGTGGGGTATCCTGTTGTGTCGACGAAACGGTCTTGGACGATTCTTCCGAAAGCATTGGCGGCTCTTGCTGCTGCCTCATTGTAGTCTGGATTAAATGTTGTCGAGTCAGCTCGTCAAAGTGACCACCGTCACCCACCATGGTTGTTCTGGCTTGATAGTGGATGGACGAGACGTTGATTCGATTGAGTTGTGGGAAGATGACTAGCAAACGGAACTTGTGGACGACCACGAAATGTTCTGATGGGCACATCGAAAGAACCTCCTTTTGATCCAATCTGACTTGGACCATTTTGAAATTTATCCTTCTTTGCTGTTGGTTTGAAAATGGACTTGACTGTCACTCTTCGTCGACGAGGCTCTTCGATGTTGTAGTTTGTCAAGTTTTGAAATTTGGGAGGAAAAAGGACCGTGTCGTGGATCCCGCGGCAGAGGTTTAAGGAAAGTGATAAAGAAGCACGTCTGAACGGATCTTTCGCTCGGAAGACTTCGTTCGATGCAGCAACAAACTTGACAAAACTCGATTTGTTCCTCAGTCGCCATCTTTGGCATCTGGGGTGAAGTCGATCTGATCATTCCTTCAAAAACCCGACTAACAAAACCACTGCCAGCCTCTAGCACAAGAGCGGCCAGCGATTGACTTCCTGTCTCTCGTGTGCATAAGTGTTTGCCCGACAAGGAAAAGACAGAAAGAGCGAAAGGGTGAAGGAGCTGGCGATCGCAAAAACCCCTTGGGATCCCTTTCCTCACTTCGTGACAACAGAAGACCCAACCCAACCTACCCTCCGTGTTGGTTTGTTTGGCGGGAGTGAACACATCAAAAGCTCTATCAATGGAGAACTCCACGACGACGCAGCTGTGTGCTTTGGAGGCGTATCTCCCACCCTCTTTTCTCGTCAACGTGCTCGCATTCTTGGATGTGGCGTCTCGATTCCGATTTGCTGCCTCTTCTCGCGCCTTTCGTGAGATTGTCTTTGGACCCGAACAGCAAGAACGCGGCATTGACGATTCGGTCAAGTCCATCTGGGCATACATGGATTTTTCTACCTGCACGCAGCGTGATCGAGACCGACTGACGGATTATGAATTACGACTCATTCTCAAGCGAGTGAATGCCCTTGAATTCACCAAGGGATTATTCCTCGAAGCATGCGTCAATTTGACGGGCATTGGCTTGGCGGGGTTGCACGGTTCCAATGTTTTGGAGGAAATTACGATGGTTTCCCGGAATCTCAACGTGTCCAAGGAGTTTCTGGATCGCATATTCCGCCCCATGGCGGCTCGGAAGCTCTGCTATATCAATATCCAATCCATGTACGCCAATGGAACCATGAATTGGAAAATGGACAGTCGACGCCAGTTGGAACCTTGCCGAAGATGCGGTATTTGGAAATACGATTGCGCCCTGTCGCCTTGCTACAAATGTGGCACACACCTTTGTCACTCCTGCAGTTCCCCCACCACTAGATTCAACAAGTGTGCACTTTGTGCGGCCATGATGGTGTGCCTCCCTTGCTATGATCGATACCACCGAAGGGGCACTAGTATTGTTTTGCACCGATTTTGCAAGCCCTGCAAAACCAACTTGGAAGCTGGCGTTTGGACGAAGAACCGCTCAAACCAACTTGGAGGTGGCTGACGTTTGGGAAGAACCGCTCCATCCGACCTGGACGAAAATGTTGGGGACGAGGATGTTGGGTGGGCTTGATAAATTTATATAAACCTGATGTTGTTACATGTGGGATGTATTGATGCAGGAACTGGTTGGAGGAGGAGAAATAAATGGCACACGGGAAAGACTGTTGTCGGAGCGGAAGCAAAGGCACCAGCTGGAAGCGACAAGTCGCCACAGCGGTTGTTGGGCTCCTTTCCATGCCACATCGTTTGATTATTATGCGACCATACGAGCTCCTTCGGGTCTGAGGTCACCACGTCTTCCTTTTGGATTGAACATGGTTGCTAACCTGAAGCTTCACTGATGTGCGTTGTTGGACGTCCGGGCCCAGCGTGGACTCAGCCGCCAGCAAGAATGCTTGTAGCAGGCGCCACTGGCTAATCTGCTTGCGACTCTGGGTGGGAATGTAAGTGCTGACTTGGTTTTCAGCCCTGCTCCCAAATGCTTCAAGACAGTGTCATTTTGCCACCGAAATGTCAAAACATTGAGCAGCCTACTGGACTCACTCCTAGCTAAAGATTCAGAAGTGCAAAGACAAACACTATTGAATTCAGCAAAAGGAATTCACAGGATCACATTCAACAGCCGAGGTGATCTCCTCTACCAAGCCATCAGCCCCAACAAACAGAACCATAATGATTTCTGTGAACGGTGTGAAAACTTCAGTAAAAGAATACAGCACTGTTTGATTTGCTGCTGTCAGAGTGATCCATCCAGAGGTGATAAAGCCATCTCCATAACTGTCTGAAATGACAAGTTTGTATGATTCGTTGGGTACAACATCGAGGACAAACGAGTAGAGAAAAAGCTCTGCTTGAATGCCCCCCACGGATTTTTCCAGTGGTTCCCAAACACCAGTCACATTTGATTCTTGTTGCCAGACCCACTCTATGTGCCAAGGGCGCCCATCAGATTCTATGTTGAGAACAATTCGTTGGCCATCTGCTTCATCTCTTGTCCCCGGGAACCTTCCTGGAAAAGTTGCAAGCTCATTTAGGTTGGCACAGGTGGATACTGGAGTTGCACTTGCTGAACAATCACACCACAGGGCAGAACAGAGGTGCTCAGGCACAGCTCCTGAAAATTGATTCCCTTCCAGTCTCAGTCCCATTGAATCATTCAGTTGCAGGGGTAGGGTTCCTGTCAAGCTGTTGTTGTACAGATAGAGCTTTTGCAAGGATGTCATGGAACCGACTTCATTTGGGATTGTCCCAGTAAAGCGATTGGTGGAAAGGTCCAGGTCGAGCAAGGAGGTCAACAGACCTATCTTGCTTGGAAGAGAGCCTGTGATGGAGTTTGAAGCCAGATAGAGCCACACCAAACTCGTCAGTGACCAAATTTCTGCAGGGATTTCTCCAGTGAGCTCATTGAAATCCAACCAAAATTCTGATAATGGTAGCAACCCAAACTCAGATGCAACTTGACCTGTCAAGAGATTTGTGCTGGCAGAGAAGACAGTCAAATCCGCCATCATTCCAAATTCTGTAGAAACTTCTCCTGTCAACAGATTTGCATGCAACAAAAGCTCATTTAGAGTACTCAAAAGAGCCAGCTCTGGAACAAGTTGGCCCGTCAAGGCATTGCTGTGCACTGACAACTGAGCCAAAGAGGTCAGTAGCACAAGTTCAGTTGGGAGTTGGCCGGAGAGCTGATTCTCACTAAGTATCAGCCGGGTCAATTCACTCGAGCTTCCCAGCTCTGATGGAATCTGCCCCGTGCAGTGATTGCTGTGGAGCACTAGAACTGCGAGGGCAGTCAAGAGTCCAAGCTCAGAGGGTATCTGGCCTGACAAGCCATTATCCACCAACCACAGAATTTCCAAACCTGTCATGAGTCCAAGCTCCGAAGCAATTCTGCCAGACAATTCATTGGCTTGTAAGTACAGTGATTCCAAGTCACTCATTTTGTAGATTTCACTTGAGAGCAAAACATCAATTGATGTAGAAATCTTGTTCCATCCCAGCCCAATCTGAGACAAGGACTTCAAAAGAGATATTTCTGGTGGAACAACTGGTGTAAGATCAGAAAGGTAGAGATCTTCGACCCAAAGACTGGTGTACTCTCCAAGATGGTTGCATGGAAGAGTTGCATATGGAGATTCATATTCCGAATACACACCATTCTTAAAATAGGAAAACCCACTGGAGAACCATAGGCACTCATCCACAAAGTCATCCATCCACCTTTCCCTGATTGGTTCAAACCAATTTTCTCCCTCAAAGGAGTAGTAAAAGGTGGCCAGAGCAAAGAGCTGTGTCTTCCTCCATTCTGGCAATTGGGTGATGTTTTGGTGGTCTAACAGCCAGTTCCATGCTCGCCACTGGGGTGTCCCAAAAGTCTGCAAGCTCGCCAAAGTGTAGTTTGGAAGATTCTCCCACAAGATATCAAGAATTCCAGTTGGGGCTGAGGAAGGGACTCCAGAAGGTTCCAAAGAACCAAATGTTGTTGGTGTAGCTGTTTGACTTCTGATTGTAGTGACTGGATCCTTTCCTTTTCTTGTCCCAACCACAGTGCCAATGACTATGGCAGCCACCACTATCATCATGGCCAGAAACAAAATATACCATTGGCTCTGCCTCTTCTTGCTTTGTTGTCTTTCCTCAACTGTCTGCAAATCCACAGGAATTGCTGGTGATCTCATTTGGAGCCTGAGAAACTCAGAATCTTCCACAACAAGATTCGCCACTGCTAGCTGCAGATCATGTGTTGCATCATTGCTGTTTTCGATGTTGTTGGGTAACACAGGTGGCAAGGAGTTTGTCTGACCGTGATCAATCTGTAGTTCTTCAATATCCTCTGAGTTTTCAGCAGGAGCACCAAGGAGGGAGAATCTAAGGGTGTTGGTGCGCTGCAAGGCTTCTCCTGGCGTTCCCATGTAGGCTCCTGGTAGAGGTAGCTGTGAAATCACTTGGGGTGCTCCATGCAGCAACCTTTCTGGGACGCTTCCATTTCTCTCAGTGGGCCTCCTGCTGTCGCCGACCTTTTCCAGCTTAGCTGCCTCATTGATTTCTGCTGCAATTTGCATGAGCGTGTGACCACCATCAGCAGACCTGTTGTTGCTAAATTTTTCCAACTTGGCCGCCTCGTTGATTTCTGTTGCCATTTGCAAAAGATTGTGCTCATCATCTTGTGTGGGGTTCATCTCTTGATCCGATAGCTCTGCAGCTGCAACACTGGCCCGATCCTCCACAATATCCATCACATTCTCTTGCTGTTGACTGGTGCCCGTTTGCGTGGGAAGTTGTCGGTTGTGCTTATCATGATGGCGAAATCGGGTGGAGGAAGCAGCAGAAGAAGAAAATTTCTTGACATCAGATAGCTTCTCCTTGTCTGTACGAGCTGTGGCTTCTTCCGATCCAGACTGTGCTGCCTTTAATTCAGATCCTTGGGAAAGACAATCAAGCACTGCTGAATAAAATTCTTTTTCCAGCTGGCTCTCAGTTGTGGGCTCTGTTGTGGGGTGCCCGTAAACTGTTGGAAGGGCAGCCGAAACCAGAGCTTTTGACTGTTCCATTTGATTTTCTGTTTCAAAGAAGGCAAAGCATCCTTGTGGCTTCTGTTCAAGTCTAACTTTTGGTAATAGTAGTTGCTCATTGATCTCTTCTGGTGACCCGCTGGGGAAGCCTGAGTTTCCTTCGGCAACAGAACCATCACCCGTAATGAGAGCATCTTCGTCTTGATTGGTAACATCATGGCCACCACTATCGTTGCTTTCGTTTCGGTTGGACGTGTTCATGTTAACGGCGCCCGATGATTCCTTTTTCGAAAGGACGGTGTCTTTGTGTTCTCGTTGTTGGGGTGCTACCGTACAAGTATGCCAATAGAAGTATTTCTACCGGGACTGAGACACGTGTGCTCTTCAAAGTTCGTCTCTTAATAAAAGCCCAGAACCGATGGAGCAGATATCTCGATACTGATTGGATTCATTCCGAGCACTGGCGCTGATGGATTGAATGGGGAGTTACTATGGATTAGAGAGAGCTACGATGAGGATGGGGACAGGGCGCTGATGGATGTGATGCGGGGACCATAGACCGATGGATAGCTCGTCGTGCTCATTTATTTGTTTGTGCTCTTCAATCCGAAATCGACTTGCCAAAAACTGGAGGACCGATAAAGTCGAGAATTTTGAAAAAGGTGATAACTCCCTTAATGAGCAGTCAGGAGTTTTGAATCAGTCCGATGGTTTGGGTTAGGGTGAAAGGAAAATTCTCAACTTGATCTGATTAGAAACGAACCGTCTACTTAAGGGTCAGGCAGGGACCCGAAGGTCGGAGGTCTGACCGAGGGCTTAAGGGAGGGCGCAAGCCCGACAGCCCGATGGTCAGGCCGGAGACCGATGGGGCACAGCCGTCCTTAAGTAGCTGGTTCGTTTCGAATGGAACGATAATGGCTGGTTTTGTATTTAACGGTCGGTCTGTGTAGGGCTGTGTAAAACACTACTGTACCAATACAAAACCTGCCGGTTCGTTCTTCAGATTTGTGTAGAAGCTGGAGAGACCCTCAAACGCACGCGATGTAATACATGTAATACGTACAATGCGTATTCTACGTATAATACGTATTACACGTATTACACGTATTACACGGTCGCCAGCCAGCCTCCGTGACCGTTCGAGTGACCGTTCGCAAAATGGCTTCAACACCAATCTCCACCAATCTCCACCAATCTCCAATCTCCACCAATCTCCACAACACACACCATGAGATAAACCTCTCTCCTCTTGTTTGTTTGAAGGATACAGAGGTTTCTGTTGTTATTTGAAGATAGTACCATCATTGTGGTTTGATTGCATAATACATGTTTACACCTGTTACACGTATACACGGGGTGATACATAAATACACATTACATGCATAACACGTGTTACACGCGTAACATGTATAACACAGTGTTGCGCGCGCTGATAGGTACTTACATGGGTTCAGTACTGGTCCCTACAGAAAGGGTTGACAATGGAAAGTGGTTCACAATGTTAGAATTCAAGGCAGACTCCACAGGCTTCTTCAGTGAGCCTTCAGAAGTATATGAATGCAAAGAGATCTGGTCCTGTGAGCTTGGACAAGCCTGATAAAGGAGTGGGGGCAGGAGAATGAAGAAGGATTTGAATGGAGAGAAATCCTTTATCTTTCCACAGAAACAGTCTTTTGGCTTCAACAAAGCCATACCAATTGCCTACTTAC